ATAACCTTGGATCGCTCAAAGACAAAAATAAATTGTCCTGAGAATGCCAACAAGGTTTTACACCCCCAGAAGAAGACGCATTCACCAAATAATATCGTCATACCTGGGAGGTCATGCCAACAGACGATACGATTTTTTGGCAATCATACCGATGAGTCGTATTATCAAGTTGGGGTTGTGAATAATTTTTGAAAGAGAGTTATTCGAGAAATAAACTCTCATCGTTCCTGTGCGCGACTCGTTAAAGCAGCATTATCAGAATATGACTGTTTCAAACGAGAAGCCATCCCACGAAGAGTCTCTGTATCGTCGAAGCCTAAGCCGAGACATTTCCGCAAAAGAAAATCAGCTGCCCAAGATGATGAATTCCCTGAAGTCACCATCAACGTGGCTGATAAAAGAAAGTCTAAGCGGCATTCAAGTGACTCAAATCCTGACTTTTCCCCGAGAGGAAGAGTCAATCCAAGAATTGCTCAAAGGATGTCTCGACTTCGCTTCTGATGATACAATGTCTAGCACGGGGCAAACCAAAGAAGTGTTCACAATCACTTCTGATCAATTTGCTCAAATACTTCAAGAAGCTCTAGCCAAACAACGTGAAGAAATCAGAGCTGAAGTGAAGACAGAAATGGAGTTAGCTATCCAACAAATGATCCCGACTTTTCCCCGGAAGGAAAAGTCAATTCAAGAATTGCCCAACGGATGTCTCGACTCCAGTTAAGAGCTATCAGACATAGAGATTACAAGAGAATGCAAGAAGGAATGTCCTCGGAGGATGAATTCTCGGACACTTATTCTGCAATCGCTTCTGATGATACAATGTCTAGCACGGGGCAAACCAAAGAAGTGTTCACAATCACTTCTGATCAATTTGCTCAAATACTTCAAGAAGCTCTAGCCAAACAACGTGAAGAAATCAGAGCTGAAGTGAAGACAGAAATGGAGTTAGCTATCCAACAAATGAGAGAATTGCGGGGTGGTTCAATGGCACCTCTTACAGGGGGTGGTCTAACTCATTCTCCTCAACGTCCTTCAAATGAAGACATAGACGATGATGAGAAAATGAAAGAGCTTGAAAACAAAATCAACGCTTTGATGACGGCTCAAAAAGTGAAAAAGACGGGTATTCCATGTCCCTATCCAAGAGAATGGAATTCAATACCGTACCCGGCAAAATTCAACATGATTAACTTCACACCGTTTGATGGGAAGAACTCGAAGAGAGATGAAGATGAGGACAAGAAAATGCAAGACCTTGAAAACAAAGTCAATGCTTTGATGTCCGCTCAGAAAGTAAAGAAGACGGGTATTCCGTGTCCCTATCCAAGAGAATGGGATTCAATACCGTATCCGACAAAGTTCAATCTGATTAACTTCACACCGTTTGAGGGGAAGAGTTCGCCGATTCAGCACTTGATTTATTTCAAGTCTCATTTGAGTATGATCTCCGGAAATGAGGCTTTAATGGTCCGGTCATTCGTTGGCACCCTTCGCGGGTCGGCCTTCGATTGGTACCGACGGCTCAAGCCAGGGAGCATCAATTGCTGGGATGACATAGAAAATTTGTTCCTCAGCAATTTCTTCGATGATGACACCGAAGTGTCAGTCGGAACCCTTTTGGATGAGAAACAAAAAGACGGAGAGTCAGTCGACAATTTTGTCAAACGCTTCCGTAACAAAGCAATGAATTGCAGAGATCCTATTACAGAGGAGTTTATCCTGCAAACATGCCACAATAATCTCTCCATCGATGTCCTGGAAGCCCTGGGGGTCGTACCATCCAAAACTTGGAAAGAGTTAAAATTACGTGGCGAACAAGCTGAACACTTTCTTAAAAGAAAGAAAGTTGAGAGAGGTCAACCGACGACATCCACAATTCCTGTGAACGCAACTCTCGATCCGAGGTTCCAAAAGGAGTATTCTTTCGAAGATGATGAAGCTCCAGCCATATTGGAATATCTTCTCGCCAATGATAAAATCGAGTTACCGCCTATTAAAGATCAGGAAGGTGCTAAGATGATTACAGATCCAAACTACTGTGCATACCACAGAAGGGTTCTTCATCCCACCGAGATTTGCTTTGGACTCAAAAACAAGATCCAAGCCCTAATTGACTCCGGCGTCATAACGACGAAAGAAGTCGAGTAAAGACAAACAATACTCCATTGGATACACGAGTATAAACTGTTTTCCTTGACTCCGATGAGTATATGAGTATAAACTGCTTCTCCGTCTAACTCCGAAGAGTATACGAGTATAAACTGCTCCTCGATACTCCAACAGGTATATGAGTCTAAACTATTTCCTTTCTTTCACGGGAAGTTCCTAGAGAATGCCATGCATGGTACTCTTAAGGATAACCCGATCATGCAGCTGAATATAATGATAAACTCAGCTTCATAAGAAAAGCTGGGGGTGGATGGTTCATGTAAACGGGAAGTTCTCGGAAGAATACTATATATAATTTTCTTAGGTATAACCCGATCGTTGCAAAAAAAAGTGATAAACACTACATCCCCACGGTGATTTCTGAATACACTTTTGTTGAGATGAGATTCGATCACCTCGTCAGATCAATCTTCCCTCACAAAACCCCATTTGGTCAAACCTTTAAACAGTTAGGACCAAACCCAAAATCCCCTCTCGATTCCTTCCATGAACGAGAGGTCCACAAATCGAATGATCAAACCTTTAAACAGTCAGGATCGCCTCAAAACTCCCACATTTCATTTGGTCAAACCTTACTCAGTTAGGACCACAACCAAAATCTCCTTTCGATTCATTCCATGAACAAGAGGTCCACTTTTCAACTGAATAACCAAACCTTATGACAGTTAGGATTATTCAAACCAATCCAGATTCTCTAAATGGAGATCCCACTTCGAGTTTCCTTTGCACCAGGAGATAGAATATAAAATTCTTCCTCTCCAATTCCGGGTTCATCTCTACCAACAAACAAGAGACCAGGAGAAAGAATATAAAATTCTTCCTTTCCATCATCGGGTTTATCTCTACCAACAAACAAGAGACCAGGAGAAAGAATATAAAATTTCTCCTCTCCATCATCGGGTTTATCTCTACCAACAAACAAGAGACCAGGAGATAGAATATAAAATTCTTCCTCTCCATCATCGGGTTCATCTCTACCAACAAACAAGAGACCAGGAGATAGAATATAAAATTCTTCCTCTCCATCATCGGGTTTATCTCTACCAACAAACAAGAGACCAGGAGATAGAATATAAAATTCTTCCTCTCCATCATCGGGTTCATCTCTACCAACAAACAAGAGACCAGGAGATAGAATATAAAATTCTTCCTCTCCATCATCGGGTTCACCTCTACCAATAAAAAAGAGATCATATTACTCCAATGGGTACACGAGTCTAAACTGTTTCCCTACCATCAACAGGAAGTTTCTGGAGAATATCACTCAAAATATTCTTAAGAATAACCTGGCTACCTCCCAACGGGTATATGAGGTTAAACTATTTCCCGAACACTCCAATAGAGCATATGAGTATAAACTATTTCTCCATTCTTCAACAACAGTTTTGATTCAAGACTTCGACGACGGCCTAGCGATAGACGCAGCACCGGAGGAATCTTAGCTATTCTACAAAGTACTGAATAAGCTAAAAGATAAAGAAGTCAAGGATTGAAGCCATTCACAAACCGTTCTACGTAATTTCCTCAACGAAGCACTGGAGAGATTGCAAGGAAAGCTTATCATATCGAAAGTGTCCCAGACCCCTCTCTGAGAAATGATGAGTCTGAGATACTTTGGAGGGGGTATCTGTAGACGTCAAAAAATGCTTACAGATGTCCAAACACCACTCAAGATAACATAGAAGAACGTTATACACATCATCAAGCAACTACATGGCAGCGCGGCAGGACATGGTGCCGCGGCTAAGGCGCGGCAGACCATGGTGCCGCGGCTAAGGCGCGGCAGCCTATGGTGCCGCGGCTTAGCCGCTGCAACCTATGGTGCCCCTGTGGTGCCGCGGCTATTACAAGAAGATGTTGTGGTAGTTATATGGCAGTTATTTGATGATTATTTGAAGTCCACGTGGCAGCATATCAGAGATAAAACGTGTGCTGACGTGGACGAGCAGTTAAACCACGAAAAAGGTGGTTAAAGGTCGTGGGAGAACGGTTTCAAACACGAGTGAACGTGGGTGTAACTGCCCCTTTAGCCGCGGCAGTGTCGACTGCCGCGCTCTTTGGCCGCGACAGTGTCGACTGTCGCGCCTTTAGCCGCGACAGCATCAACTGCCGCGCCTAAAGAGGCAGTTGTTGATCGACTATTTCTTCGGTTATCGTCCAAGGAGGCTATAAATACCCCCCTATGGCCATCATTGACAGAGGCGGAGCATTTACAGAGCAGATTAGAGCAGAGAGCCTTGAGTTTTGGTGAATTAGAGCAAGAGAGAGAGTCTTCCTTCTTCACAAACATCCTCAAGAAGCTTCTGGCGAGTCCTAGAGATCTAAGCTCAGACTTGATCTTTAGAAGAGTGAACATCTTACATCGATAAGATATTCGCTTCAAATTCTTACTTCGATAAACGAAGGAAGAATCATTAAACCCCTCACGGTTCAATCAGAATCTGTGATTTGGTGGTCCACGAGTCAAAGCGCTCCCGGCACAGGCAAAGATCCCACGCAAGCAGCGATCCAAACAACGATCCTGTTATCAGACTTTTCTTGACATTTAGTTGTACTTCTTGCCACTGAAAAGCGAGCATAGACTATATTATCATAGATTCTTTTCTTGTTAAATATGTTTTTTTAGATAGTTCTTTCTTTTAGTGATAAAAATTGACTGGGATCGCATAATGAAGGCCACTAAATGCACAAATTATAAGAAGCAATAATATGATAGTTAACAAGGGAACAGAGTGCTAGAGACAGACCTAAGAGAATTTGATAGGAAGCAATCAAGAATCAAGAATAATACAATAATAGTTAACAAAGGACATAACCCTTAATAAAGCTGAATGGAAGAATTAGATTCAGGTAACCCACCCCAAAAAAATGTGGAAGGATTATTTGTGGATAGACACCCCTATGGTATCTATGTTTTGAACTTACTGAGTGAAACTTTTATTCTCTTACCCTCAGGTGGTCTATTTGATAAAACATATTTTCTCTTTCTGAGGGTAAAAGAGTCGAAATTAATTTTCTAAGGGGTCTATTTGCAAAAATAAAACTAAAAGCGTAGTAAGTTCAAAATAACGATACTACAGGGGGCCTATCCATAATAAACCCTTCCAAGTTAGGAGATAGTAAGTCCAAAATAGCGATACCGTGAAGGCCACTAAATGCACATATTAGGAAAAGTGGCAAGGAGGACCAAATGCAGACGTAAGAGAGTTGATAGGAAACAATTAGCAAGGATATGATAATAGTTAAATTGTGAAGATAGTACTCAACAGAATTGAATGGAAGAATATGGAAGAATATGGTTCATGTAGCTTTGACACTAAAATTTTGAAATAAAGTATTGTTGTTTTTCTTGTTTCCTATGTCATACTTATAACAATCGTTATTCTCTTTGTACAGACAGAAGTCCCCGTCGACCATACCAAAGGTCACATTAACAAATGGCACTTCCGATCAACCTCCACCAACATCATTCGAATATGGTCACAATGGCTTGTCCACAAAACCGCCCACCCCTTCCCCGTCTCAACTCCACGCACCCTCAACGTTCACATCGACACCCCCCACCGAAACTTCATCGACTTCCTCCCCCAATTCGATGTTCTTGTCATCTCCTCAGGCCACTGGTTCAGCACTGAATCAACCTACCGCCTCAACAACACAATCGTCGGCGGCCAACTCAGCCCCACCAAGAAATCCTTCAAGGATGTCATCGAGTTTTATGGCGTAGCAGTACAAACAGCCCTAAATGCGATTCTTGAAGCTTCAAATTACACGGGGTTGACAGTATTACGCTCTTATTCACCCGAGCATTATCAACGTGGAGAATGGAATACCGGTGGAAAGTGTACTGGAATTGATAAGCCTGCGAGAGAATCAGTGAGGAGTAGAAATACAAACTCTATGCAGAAAATGCAGGTTGTCGAGTTTGAGAAGGCAGCGAGAAGGCGGACGAGTGGGTCAAAGTTGAAATTTATGGACGTTACGGAGATGTCTGGTTATCGAAATGACGGCCATCCTGGGAGGTATAATAGAAATGTGAGCAAGGAAAATGCACCAGAGGATTGTTTGCATTGGTGCACGCCAGGGGTTGTGGATACTTGGAATGAGGTTTTGTTTGAGATTTTGAAGAGAGAATTCTGACAATATACTCTGATATTTGCTACATATATAAGTATCTGTCTATTAAATTGGGTAGCTCCTTTTGGAATCCAAGATTTCTTAGAATTCTTTATTGTAAGTTATGTTTAATCAAACCTTAGACTAGGATACTTGGAATCATATTCATGTTACAGATCCCAAAAGTTTGGGATAAAGACTTCAGCATTGTTGTTGTTAATTAATCATGTTATGCAAGCACTTTTATGATTTGAGGGACCTGTATATAAAAAATTTCAAAGATTTAAGGGAGTGAATATAAATTATGGAAAATTTTGCAGCCAATATGTAAAAGATATTTAACTAGACAAAAAGATAGCGGCTTAGATGTGACATGAGTCTCGATAAGTATGTATAAAAATCTTCAAAAATGTACGATATAGTACCAGTCAGTAGTATGAGATCAAAAGTTAGATTATAGTACTTGAGATCATGTTTTTAAAAAGAAGATGAGGATGAAGATTATTTTAGAAGAAACACTCTTGCAGTCTGAGTCAGATCCAAAATTTGAGGTTGAATTCAGAATTGAATTAGTTTAAAATCAGAAAATCATATCGAAAAATATGGATATGGCGTTCATAGCACTGAAGCTTTCTGAAGTGAGAGTTTAAAGTGGATCTATTTGGTACTTTATGCAAGCATATTACTTTTAATCTCTCCGTTTGGCAAAGGTTGAGTAAGAGGGGTTAAAGAGAAGGATTAATGTACTTAGCCCATTCGATAATCTGAAGGACTAAATTATTAACCCGTTAAATAAATTTTATTTTAGCTCTTGTGATCAGATGTCGAACTTATTTTTTTTAGCGACTTATTACTTATTTTACTACCTAAGAGTAATAAGTTGGGATGTTCTAACTTATTGTTTAGCCATTTATAAGTAGATTTAGTTATTGATGTTAAAAGACATCTTGCCCTCTAACAAAATAAGTAAAAATAAGTAATAAGTAATTTATAAGGAACATGAATAAGTATTAGCCAAACATGCCCTAAGAAAAGAAATACTTATAAATAAAGGGTTTTTTCCCCTTGGAAACCACCTTAAAATAGGATTATTATACAAAAAACATATTTTATTTTTAATTAATACGTAAACTACCTTTAAAATATATTTTATTCCAATCAACCATCTCCCTGTCAATATTTTCACGAAAAACCTAAAGATTTCCTTAAAAACTCACATTCAAGACACGTGACTCAATTTCTTAATTTTTGGATCTTATTATAACTAGTATTTAGACCCGTGCAAAGCACGGTTTCTAGAAGATTTTCTGCAAATATTGAACATGTTACAAAAAATAAAGTATTCTGCTTTAGATATGAAGTATAGTGGTGGAAGTGAACCGAATAATTAATAAACTGTTCGGTTATTATTCGTCCAAATATTCGCAGAAGTTTATTTCGATAGTTCATTTAGTACTAAACAAATAATTTTTAGTGTTCGGCTTATAAATGAATAGAATCTAACCAAAGGTATGTTCGATTAGGTAGTTTATTAACAATTTGATTCGATAATTTTTTAATAGAATTTAACTAAATGTATGTTTGATTCTAATAATGCATGTTATATATGTGTTTGCTTATTAATCATGAAACTAATGAGAAAGTTATAAAGTATTATCTACATATCTAATCCAAGGAACTCAACTTCAGAGAAATAAATTGAGACAACATTTGTCCTGTGCATTACGATTTGGCCTAATTGTGTGCCAGCATCACATAAAAAAAAGGAGTTGAAGATTTTGTTTTTGTTTTTTTCATTAAGAGCAGTAGTGTACATGTACATCTACAATTGAGAATTGCAAAAAAGAAAATGCATATAAAAACCACTGCAGAAGCATTCAAAAGCATCACCGACAAATAAACAAATTATAAGAAAACAAATGCTACCAAAAATAGCAAATAAAAAGGAAATCTGAGAATCCAAATTACGCAAGTGCACAAAAATTCACTCTTCTGGAATCATAGTTACATTACAGAGTAGAAGGCACCTGAAGATAACACATAATGACACACATGCTTACACTTGTAAGAATCCTATCAAGAGCCATAGATTACACGGCAACTGAGGATTTTTTTAAATTATCTGAACAATGAGTATACTACAACACATAAAGTAGTAAGATCTCAGAAAATCTCCTGTTGAGTAAGGCCCTCTGTATATAGTGTGGAATCCCAATTTGGGTAATTTGCTTTAGGTGTAATTTCAAGGAAATAGTAATGTTTAACCATACCCTGAAACTATGAAGTGTATGATAATGAAATTAATGTTTAAAGAATAGAAGCATATAACCTCATCTGCAGTTCTCTTCTTCTTTTGTAGTGTTGGTGCAGAAAACTTCTGCAAGCCAACCCTCAAATCAAACCGAAGCGTATAATCTGAGGGCGCCAAATGAATACCTCTTTGCAAAGTTCTTTTACATTCATTCCACTGTTCTGCCTAATAATGAGTGAAGGATAAATATAGAAAGACCTCCGTGTCTGTGTTGTAGTAGAACTTTTGTAAGCAATTTTGGTACTGCAAAAGAGCAATTTGTCACACTTAATGCTTCTGGCAAAAAAAATCCTGGGTTCTTATAATTACCATTTTCACAGCTAAGGCAAAATGTCCTTGAGCAAAATAAACATTGCCCAAATTTACCCACACATCTGACATCCGAACAAAAATGCTCCCTGATGCAGCTTCTTGCACCTAAATTATAAAAATAAGTCATGTAAAAGAACTAATGAAATTTTTAACTAAAGAAAAGAGCTGATGCATAACCAAAAGTAACCTCCGAAAATATATCATTTGAAACATTAAAGTGACATTTTTCAGCGAGCTGATGCATAACCAAAAGTAACCTCCGAAAATATATCATTTGAAACATTAAAGTGACATTTTTCAGCCAAGATAGCTCCAGTACCATTGATAGCATATAGGTTTTCAGGATGCAGCTTCAATACCTACAGATCATGTCAATAACAAATTATGATTAAAACACAGTTTAAAGGATTAAAAAAGATGAAAAAACACACAAATGCAGGTGACAAATTTTTAATATTTTGATCCATAAGTGTGCATGTGTCGCATCTTTATCCTTATTTATATTTGTGACCATATACCATTGTAATAGGGGAAATCTGTCCTGCTCCAATCATCATATCCTTTCAAGAACTCATTAGAACCCTAAATTAAGTATGAAAACCATAAAAATGAATAAAACCAATAAAGATAAACAAATGAAACCTGAGGAATTCTTATCGGAGAGGACCACATCTGAACCTCATCATCGCTGGCTTCAAGATCCATCAGCGCGCCGCCGCCGCTTGCCGGAATCACCGTAGGCAGCGGCGTCGATGGCCAACAATAAACAGCAAACCATGTATGAAAATATACCAAATTTTTACTTTAAAAAATGTAAAAGGAAAGACTTATATGCAGTAACGCAAGAAAAACAAATAAAATCCAACTAAAATCTATAATAATGTGATGGGTAAACTGGAAAACAAATTGAAATGACAAAAGGAGCCTCACTTTCATGAGGGGTTAACTCATGGGATGAATCAAACAAATAGAAACATAATCCAATAAATAATATATTCCTATGTACAGTTTACTTGATTTAAATTCCAGCAAAGGATTTGTTCCGCCAATTGTTTGAACAAAGTTATGTCAAATATTGAAGAGAATTGCTTGCAAGAAAAATATTCTTGAAACTACAGGATTGAATCTTCATAAAATTGTACAGTTCACAAAATGAAAGCTCTAATGTTAAACCAAAAACCTGGTAATTTATATACATCTCAATGGACACCTATGCAAATGACAGCAACTTCTAAAATGTCTAAAGCGTATTATATTGCAATGTCTGAAACGTATTATATTGAAAGAATATGCAAGTTGAATAAATACATTAGGGAAAATATACATACAGAAGTGAAATTATCATGTCGCCCTGGTGTTTTGATATTAGCATACCTAAAATCAAAATTAATCTAAGAGAAGTTGGCAGAGAATAATCTTTAAAAGCAAGTTAAATAAAAAAGAAACTTTGGATCTAAGCGGTATTTGGTTTCTTTATCTTCATCATCATCTTGCTCCAAAGATATCAAAATAAAAAACAAATAAAACCCAACTAAAATTATGAAAATACTACAAATGTGAGTTCCGTTGAGTTAGGGTTTGAGGTTTTCCGGCGAGCTGGAAGTGGAGGGGAAGTGGGGGAAGTGGGTTTGGGTTGTCGGGTTTGCGGATCTAGATCCGGATCGGAACCGGAGGGGGTCGTCGTCTTTGTAGGCCTTGATGTTGGTGGGCTTTCGGAGATCTCGTTGTGTTTGGGGAGAGGGCATAGAGAGGAGGAAGTGGGGATTGGAAGGAAATATTGAAAGAGGAAGAGAGAATCGTGGGAATCGTGGAGAACGTGGGAAGAGAAGTTTGATGGGGAGTACAGAAATTTTGAGAACGTGGCTAGTGAAAATGCTTATTAGGATTTCATTGTTCAGAACCTTAGGTTACTGTTCATTTTAGCATTTTTGTTGTTCTACTTTACTTATTAGGATTTCATTGTTCAGAACCTTAGGTTACTGTTCATTTTAGCATTTTTGTTGTTCTACTTTAGTAATAAAGAAGTAGATATAAGTCATGTATCTTAAACGCGCAAATTTTAAGCCTGTTTTTAGCTTTTTAGTGAGAATTTTTAAGGTGGTTTCTAAGGGGAAAAACATTTATTTATAAGTATTTCTAAGGGCATGTTTGGCTAATACTTATTTATGTTCCTTATAAGTTACTTATTACTTATTTTTACTTATTTTGTAAGAGGACAAGATGTCTTTTAACATCAATAACTAATTCTACTTATAAATGGCTAAACAATAAGTTAGAACATCCCACTTATTACTCTTAGGTAGTAAAATAAGTAATAAGTCACTAAAAATAAGTTGGGATTGTCGAACTTATTTTTTTTAGCGACTTATTACTTATTTTACTACCTAAGAGTAATAAGTTGGGATGTTCTAACTTATTGTTTAGCCATTTATAAGTAGATTTAGTTATTGATGTTAAAAGACATCTTGCCCTCTAACAAAATAAGTAAAAATAAGTAATAAGTAATTTATAAGGAACATAAATAAGTATTAGCCAAACATGCCCTAAGAAATACTTATAAATAAAGGGTTTTTCCCCCTTGGAAACCACCTTAAAATAGGATTATTATACAAAAAACATATTTTATTTTTAATTAATACGTAAACTACCTTTAAAATATATTTTATTCCAATCAACCATTCCCTGTCAATATTTTCACGAAAAACCTAAAGATTTCCTTAAAAACTCACATTCAAGACACGTGACTCAATTTCTTAATTTTTGGATCTTATTATAATATAAGCCATGTATCTTAAACGCGCAAATTTTAAGCTTGTTTTTAGCTTTTTAGTGAATATTTTTAAGGTGGTTTCTAAGAGAAAAAACATTTATTTATAAGTATTTCTTAGGGCATGTTTGGCTAATACTTATTTATGTTCCTTATAAGTTACTTTTTACTTATTTTGTAAGAGGACAAGATGTCTTTTAACATCAATAACTAATTCTACTTATAAATGGCTAAACAATAAGTTAGAACATCCCACTTATTACTCTTAGGTAGTAAAATAAGTAATAAGTCACTAAAAATAAGTTGGGATTGTCGAACTTATTTTTTTAGCGACTTATTACTTATTTTACTACCTAAGAGTAATAAGTTGGGATGTTCTAACTTATTATTTAGCCATTTATGAGTAGATTTAGTTATTGATGTTAAAAGACATCTTGCCCTCTAACAAAATAAGTAATAAGTAATTTATAAGGAACATAAATAAGTATTAGCCAAACATGCCCTAAGAAATACTTATAAATAAAGGGTTTTTTCCCCTTGGAAACCACCTTAAAATAGGATTATTATACAAAAAACATATTTTATTTTTAATTAATACGTAAACTACCTTTAAAATATATTTTATTCCAATCAACCATTCCCTGTCAATATTTTCACGAAAAACCTAAAGATTTCCTTAAAAACTCACATTCAAGACACGTGACTCAATTTCTTAATTTTTGGATCTTATTATAATATAAGTCATGTATCTTAAACGCGCAAATTTTAAGCCTGTTTTTAGCTTTTTAGTGAAAATTTTTAAGGTGGTTTCTAAGGGAAAAAACATTTATTTATAAGTATTTCTTAGGGCATGTTTGGCTAATACTTATTTATGTTCCTTATAAGTTACTTATTACTTATTTTTACTTATTTTGTAAGAGGACAAGATGTCTTTTAACATCAATAACTAATTCTACTTATAAATGGCTAAACAATAAGTTAGAACATCCCAACTTATTACTCTTAGGTAGTAAAATAAGTAATAAGTCACTAAAAATAAGTTGGGATTGTCGAACTTATTTTTTTAGCGACTTATTACTTATTTTACTACCTAAGAGTAATAAGTTGGGATGTTCTAACTTATTGTTTAGCCATTTATAAGTAGATTTAGTTATTGATGTTAAAAGACATCTTGCCCTCTAACAAAATAAGTAAAAATAAGTAATAAGTAATTTATAAGGAACATAAATAAGTATTAGCCAAACATGCCCTAAGAAATACTTATAAATAAAGGGTTTTCCCCCCTTGGAAACCACCTTAAAATAGGATTATTATACAAAAAACATATTTTATTTTTAATTAATACGTAAACTACCTTTAAAATATATTTTATTCCAATCAACCATCTCCTTGTCAATATTTTCACGAAAAACCTAAAGATTTCCTTAAAAACTCACATTCAAGACACGTGACTCAATTTCTTAATTTTTGGATCTTATTATAATATAAGTCATGTATCTTAAACGCGCAAATTTTAAGCCTGTTTTTAGCTTTTTAGTGAGAATTTTTAAGGTGGTTTCTAAGGGAAAAAACATTTATTTATAAGTATTTCTTAGGGCATGTTTGGCTAATACTTATTTATGTTCCTAATAAGTTACGCATTACTTATTTTTACTTATTTTGTAAGAGGACAAGATGTCTTTTAACATCAATAACTAATTCTACTTATAAATGGCTAAACAATAAGTTAGAACATCCCACTTATTACTCTTAGGTAGTAAAATAAGTAATAAGTCACTAAAAAATAAGTTGGGATTGTCGAACTTATTTTTTTTAGCGACTTATTACTTATTCTAACTTATTGTTTAGCCATTTATAAGTAGATTTAGTTATTGATGTTAAAAGACATCTTGCCCTCTAACAAAATAAGTAAAAATACGTAATAAGTAATTTATAAGGAACATAAATAAGTATTAGCCAAACATGCCCTAAGAAATACTTATAAATAAATGGTTCTTACCCTTGGAAACCACCTTAAAATAGGATTATTATACAAAAACCATATTTTATTTTTAATTAATACGTAAACTACCTTTAAAATATATTTTATTCCAATCAACCATCTCCCTGTCAATATTTCCACTAAAAATCTAAAGATTTCCTTTAAAACTCACATTCAAGACACGTGATTCAATTTCTTAGGCTTCGTTTGGATACCATGGAGTTTTTCTTGTTGTGTTTTTGTGAAAAAACACAATGGTGTTGTGTTTTTTCCTTAAAGTGTTTTTAAAACATCATGTTAAGTATTTTTGTTCAACATTAGTTTAACCTATTACAACATTAGTATTAAACATACTATTAATATATTATACATTAATTATAATAAAATATATTATAAATAAAATATGATAATATTTAGTTTACAATATAATATTATTATAAGTATTAATATAATATAATATTATATAGTGTATTATGATATTATAATATAGTTTAATGGGTTATATTATTTTATAATTATTATTATATTATAACTATTACATATTATTTTTAAATAATTATATATTAATTATTTTGGTATATCAATTTGTTATTTTTATATATTATATAATATTTATAAAATAATTGCAAATACTCTCCAGCAAACACTCTGTATGTGTAGGAAATATAACATACAACGCAGTGAAAATTGCACATCTTGTAGTTTAATCAAAATTAATTAAAATCTAGAAGAATACCCGTAACACTTTTCGAATTTCTTCGATAATCTGTCCTAAGATCAATACGAAATACCTTCTTCAAGAGAAAAAACCTCCAATTGATATACACCCGTTACCGAAGGGGAGCAATACTGAGAGATAAGTTCTCAAAATCTATTTTCATTTTCTTTTTCTCATCTACATAAGGCTACATATGAGTCCTATATATAGGATTGGACATGCCTTATAGATTTCAATTTTAAAACAATTCTTAATTGTTTAAAACTCTATCCATAACATTTAAAGATAAAATATTATTTTCATAATAATTAGGATAGAAATAGAATTGTATTGTATGTAAACCTCTTCTAATAACGTTAGTGAGACTAATTGGGTCCCATATCGAGAATCAATTATTAATCAAATTAATAATTTTAATTTAACAATCAAATCCGTATCCGACCAACTATTCATAAAAGCTCTTCCATAACATGAGATTAAATATTCATGAATACTATTATTTTATATTTAGTCCCTTCCGGTATCAATTTATTTTAGGTAACTTTATTAAGCAAGACAAATCACCTATTTGCTCATTCTTACAACTGCAATTCCATGAAACATAAAAAACCATTTTGAAACATCAAAATATTTTATTTTGTAAGAAAATTAATTTAGAAAATTAATTTTCAAAAAATCACCCCTCGACGGGAATTTAATATCTTCATGGGATATGCATTATAAATTAACTCATAAAAATGAGTATATTGGATCCTATCTAGATATCCATCATTTTCCTAAATGAAATCTAGTAACCCAATATTTCAGGTTGTATAGTACTTGTAAAACAAGTTTAACCATCATATCAAAGTATACTAAATTATCAAATCGAAAATGATAATATCATCAAGTCTAAGGGACCATGTAATAATTCGAATTCTTTATCTCTTAGGTGACTCGTTCTTGAGAATCCAAATAAGGTATTGTGCTACACATATTAAATATGCGCTTATGACATACACCCGCTGAATCTTCATTCCCGATGGCTGAGATCAATCATCACATCTCATATGTCGTTTTCATGCATAATAACCTGTTATAACAAAACGCTCCTTTACTAGTTATATGTTAAGCATAAATTTAAGAAACATCTGAATTAGATCATATTTCCAAGCAAGTGATCATCACAGTGCATGATCTAACAAAATAACTTCTAAGGAGAATATAACAATTATATAAAAGATAACCAAATAACATGTGCAACAATAAAACTTAATTAATATTCAATAAAAATGTATTTGATGTTTAAAGACATATAACACTAGTCTAGCAGTATGGTTATCCTAACCCAATCTCATATTAAATAACTCATAATTGATACATTAATTATGAATAATAAATTAGTAAAATATTAGTGTATTTGAAACCTGAGAGTCATTTCGTAAGTCCCATTCTTCTTTCTTAGTGGCCATAGAGCTTCAATCTTATTTCTGTGGTCCAGGATCACTCTTCTATTGATATTTTCACTCCTAATTTAGATTTCAACAGTTTCACTTCTTCTAGAGCTGTTTCTTGGTTTTTTTCCAAACAGAAACGCTTGTTTTCTATATCATTTTTGTCTCATTATTATTAATTTTTGAGCGTTTTCTTTTGCTTTAACGCCGTTCAGCGCTCATATTTATGTTTTCAGGCTTTGCTTTGTTTGTATTAGTTGAAAAATTTTAAAAGAATGCGTTAAAGTAAACCATAAATCTATCTACCCTTTAAAAGAGTCAGTTCCTAAAAAACTTTTCCCTCCCCAAAATAACCTTCAACCGAAATAAATATACCAACCTTATCCCTGACAACATCCGCAGAAATAAAATGCCCTAAATCTTCCTTCGGTTCTGGCTTCTCTCCGCCTTCTCCTCTGCCCATCCGATCTTCAGTTACAACTTTTAAAGATGAAATTAAATCACCAGTTCATCCGATACTCAAGCCAATCACATCCCCGTCGGAGTTCGTGCGCCGCGTCGGACTTCGATCTCCAATCACGGAGATCTCTTCAACCCTCTTCAAAGGTGAAGTCTCTCTCTTTCTTTCACTGAGAATTTTAAGTGATTTTTCTTATAATTTCTGCCTCGAATTTGGATTATTTATGGATTAGACTTGATGCTTATATCTCTCTTTGTTGTGAAAATTGTCTATTATATCTCTCTTTGTTGTGAAAATTGTCAAGTTGAATGAATCATTTATGTTGCTGTTTGTTTGGTGTGTGAAACTGTCATAAAGTTCCATGTTTTGCCTGAATATGGCATATTCCTGATATACTTTTTTTATGACATCTTCCAGCTATCCACGTACAGAGAGCACATCATATATGGGGTGATTTTGTGCAATCATTTGATTTTATGACATATTCCTGGATCATTTGATTTTAGAAATGCACTCGGGGCACAATTGAATAATCCTATATGGGGTGATTTTGTGCAATCATTATTAGCTGAAGGTTTTCATAAGCCAAGAACAGGATGAGATGCTGGTGATCATCCTCCCATTACTCCCATGCGATCAGCAACGGAGGATATGGTAGGAAATGATGCTTGGAGGCTGTACCAGTATATATGTCAGCATTTTATTGGCTCTGTTAGTCCTGACTGCAAATACAGAAGGTCAACTATGTTCTTCTTCCTTCTGTAAACTTAGAACCGTCACTAAAGTACCCAAGATGTATAGAAGAAATATCACTGAATATATATTGGTCATGAGCACATGTTTAGTTATGTTCTGAACTTTTTGTTGATTTGAGGTACTTACAGCATTTTCTATCTTAAATATGACTTGTTCATGCTCTCTACAGGACTAATGTAGAATTTTACTGTTGGTGATGAAGTGTTCCGCTGTGTGGGTCAGCTGTCATAGCTAAAGGGTTTACATCTATCATGCCATGGTTGGCTGTTAGTGAAAAAAATCTTCCTCGGTTTACAAAGGGAGAGAGAATAAACATTGCGAAAGTTGAGCTATATGAGGTGAACATTATTTTTCATTAAATGCTTGGTTTCTTAGGCTTAGACAAGCATCTTTGAAATATACGTGAATATTACCCTTTATGTATGTGGCTTCCAGAATTTGTTTATATTCAATTCTAATAACCATTTTATTTTCATTATATTTTTTAGGGTAGCACCTCACCTCCTGATTACCTCAGCGAGAGTGAGCTGATATATCTAAAGGAAAAGCATGGAATAAGAACAACTTACCATATTCAGCGTTTGTCCCGTTGTTAGGGAATAGATTCATGCTGATCTCCCTATGTAATTTCCTAGGATTCTCAGTATTATATACTTACATGTTATTTTATTTGTTTTTGTTAGCTTTTTAAGTTATTGGTATGATTTCAATTCTGTGAGTTCAGATGATTGGTTATTAGTTGATCAGCTCTTTTTTTTTATGTATTACATAGATTACTGGAGTAATTTTTATGTCCTTGCACCAGTTATTGATGTTTCAATTCTCAAACTGGCTTGACTTACTAATGTTTAGTTGATAAAAAGTGCACGGTTTTAGGTAAACTAACATTTCATCTTGTGGAACTAGAAGGTAATAAAGTAAAAAGATGATACCAAGAAATTATATCAATTTTTCATTTTAAAACTTATTCTGTTGGATTGTCAAGCTCGACAACAAGACCTTGAAGCATGTGATTGCACATAAATAGCTGGACACCCTATTTGCTGATGAGTTATCTTCTAAAAAATGTAGTTCTGTGCAACAACCTTAAATTTGTACTCTAATGCATCTAGGCAACCTCAATACCTTACAAAAAAAAATAGTTCAACCTAAATATGATCAAAATTCAGGTATTATAGATATATTCTATTGTATTATTTAGTTTATTAATCGTGTTTTTTAAGGATCGGTACCATCAGCCCGTAGAAATGTACGCGATGCAACACGAGGGAAAGGGGATAGAGAGATTGGTGACACAATTGGGTCATGCAATTTCAGTTCCGATCCCTTCCTCGAGTGGAGCACCGGAGGGGGAGCATGCGACATCCCTCGCGAATGAGATTGGGAAGGAGATCCGATCATCTGCACTGGTTCGTAATTGTGGTTGGGACAATATTGATGCTGGGAGTCGAGAGGCGATCATTATGAGAGTTCGGGTATTTTTTTAATCATTCTTTAATGATATTCTTTAATGGTCTATGATTTTCATGCTACACAAATAGGGTTGTTAAGGAATAGATTGTTGTGCATCTGCTGAATGTTACATTGTCATGTTGTGCTGTTTCCTTTTTCTTTTTTGAGTTCTTCACATGTGTATTTTCAGAATCGTTAACTTGTATGGTCCACTTGAGTGCTTTAACTTCTACTGATACGTATGGTCCACTTTACTTAGATAATAACTTAAATTCTTCATGCTTATATTTAGCTGGGAGGATATAACATAACAAGTCTTGTAATTATGAGTTAAATTAACGGAGGAACTTGGAAAAACATACCCAAAACGATCATAATAGGTGGATTCTAATGTTTTAAGTGTATTTTTGCATTTTAGTTATGACAACGGCAATTCGTAATGGAGATTGGAGTCTGTGATTGGTGATTGGATGATGTTTCTACCTGTGTAATGTCTTTGTGGATGCCTGAGCGTCCTGCTTGTGGGAAGAAGTGATAGGACAGGAGATGGTTGAAGCAGAGTACTCGATGACAATTAACATGCATCAACCTGAGTAAATGTGGACAAAGTGTCAAGGTTAACTGTGAATCGAGTACAGCATGGATGTGGGACAGTAGAAGCATATGTAAGAGTGGTAAGTTGTTTTTTACATGACATGCTTAAGTATTAAGATGTTGCAATTAGTGTTGGATATAATTTTTTTTGTCCTCTTTTCTATTCCTTGTTTCTGGGGTTCAGTATCTACTCTTCCTAATCTTATATAGGAGTTGAGTCCTTATGTACGTTGATGTTGTGCGGTGAATGACGATTCTGTCTGCCTGTCGCCCTCGTGGATTTACACGCACTAGGAATTAACTTCTTCAGTTATGGGTTAGGGTTGTTTTCCTGTGTGACCCATGCATAGCTGGTCAATGCATGTTTTTTTATTTTAGTTATGAAGCTTTTTGTATGGTACGTTTGCTGTGCATCTGCTAAATGTTACATTGTTTTCTATTGTTTCTTTTTTGAAATGCAAACTTCCGAATACATGTACTTGTATATTCATGCTTAACTTCCGAATGATATTCATGCTTATATGTATATTCATGCTTAACTGTACTTGTAGCAAAGATTTGATGTCGAGGACTATGAGAACGACCTAATCATCTAAGATTCCATAAAGAAAAAGTTTCAGAGTATTTATAGAAATTGGAAGCATGTGTTGCACGCCTATTATCTTGGTTTAATAGAGAAGGGTGTACCTGATCCCAAGAACCATCCACCGAAGCATGTGGAGCCTAATGATTGGGTATCGATGACCGATGTGTGGGAAAATGAATGGAAGGTATAAATCTCAAATCACAAAAACACTGGTTTTTTATACAAACATATGTCTATTAGTAGATACATTCTTAAAGACTGCATTCAGATGGAGAAAGAAAGAGCGAGAGATGGTATGAGTAGGTGGACGTCAGATAGGAGTTGAAGGTAGGATTACAATAAATCATGGCAAGGACAGTAGTAAGATTAGAGACATGTAGGGCTAGCCTCATGAATGGTGTCTGCCTTTAGGAGCTGCTAACTGCACGAATGTTCGATGACTTTCAGATTTGAGGTAATGATGGGCTTTCAGATTTGAGGTAATGATGTGGAAATAGCCGATGTTAGGGGGAAAAAGACAAGATGTTGACATCTAGGGATTAGTAATGGCACCTTAATGACTGTAACAAAGAATAAATCATAGTAATTCAAGATATGATACTCTAAAACATGCAGGCTGATGTCGTTGAAGTACTTAAAGTCCCCAAAAGGCACACAAATTAGAATTTGATCCAAATTTTGCAAGAATGAACATAAGCAATGAGAAGAAAATGGTCAGAAATTAAGCTGAAAGTCATACCCACTTCATGTTTCCAGTGACACCTTTTTTCCACCTAAAATCGTGTACGACCTGTGCTCAGCCAGATCACTAAAGGCACGAAAATTTATTGATATTCCACATACATGCACATATAGACGTGACCACACACGCACATGATAACCACCAACAATCTAAGAAGCAGAAAAGTTTAATATAAAAGAAATGAATTTGAGTTAAAGGGCACTGACATGTTAAATGTTATTCAGCTTTCATTTCATCACAGTGATTTGTCAGTTAGTATGCTATTGATTTGGTGTTCGGTAGTTCTGTTAGCTGATTATTCACGTTATAAATTTCACTTCTTGATATTGATTTGGTGTTTGGTGTTCGGATCTTTTGTAAAATTTTTACACTCGCATATATTCACGGCTATTTTTGATGTTGCTTAATTCTTGTTATGCAGGAACTTGGATTTGAGTATCTTGAAAGCAGAGAGCAACTTGTCATGACGTTACAAGCAAACTGGAATATTTAAACAGTTGTTCCATTCTTTCTTTTCTTTCACCTTTTCCTCTCGACAAATTGTGTTTTTTTTTTCCTTTGTGGATTACAAGCAAACTGGAATATTTAAACAGACCTTTGAGTGTTGACTTGAAAATGGAAATGAATGTAACTAATTTGTAATGTGAGTAAATTCTTTGTTTATCATAATATGGAACGTGATTGGAGTATAATTTGATGTTTGGTTTCTTTGTTGATGTGAATGGGTGCAATTTTTTTGTTGATGCTCAGGTTCAGTGTAGGCTTATAGTTGACAGAAAAGATAATTACGCGTTGCCAAAAATAATACATTTGCCAATGTTAAATTGTGTTACTAAATTTTTAACTTTTAGCGACGCACTAAATTGCGTCACTAAAAGTACCACTTTTGCCGACGCTTTCTTGCGTCGCCAAAGATATATTTTTTAGCGACGCTTCATTCTGCGTCGCTAAAAGCCACATTTTTGCCGACGCTAACTTGCGTCGCTAAAAGTATAAATTGCACTTTAGTCTTTTTCTAATGAGTTTTCCCCCTTAACTTCGAAGAACCATGATGTAAAAGACTCTCATTTACTACCAAAAAGTATAAAAATTTCAAACAATTAGTGATCATTTTTTAGCTTCCCCCCTTAAATTCGAATAGCCATGATGTAGAATTCTCTCATTTACAACTAATAAGGGGTGATAGAATATGATTCTAGAGATTTTAGCCAATTATGGACACATGATTAAGCCAATTATGGGGTTTATAAAATACATTCTACTGTAGAAATTACAATAAATCATGGCAAGGACAGTAGTAAGATTAGAGACATGTAGGGCTAGCCTCATGAATGGTGTCTGCCTTTAGGAGCTGCTAACTGCACGAATGTTCGATGACTTTCAGATTTGAGGTAATGATGGGCTTTCAGATTTGAGGTAATGATGTGGAAATAGCCGATGTTAGGGGGAAAAAGACAAGATGTTGACATCTAGGGATTAGTAATGGCACCTTAATGACTGTAACAAAGAATAAATCATAGTAATTCAAGATATGATACTCTAAAACATGCAGGCTGATGTCGTTGAAGTACTTAAAGTCCCCAAAAGGCACACAAATTAGAATTTGATCCAAATTTTGCAAGAATGAACATAAGCAATGAGAAGAAAATGGTCAGAAATTAAGCTGAAACTCATACCCACTTCATGTTTCCAGTGACACCTTTTTTCCACCTAAAACCGTGTACGACCTGTGCTCAGCCAGATCACTAAAGGCACGAAAATTTATTGATATTCCACATACATGCACATATAGACGTGACCACACACGCACATGATAACCACCAACAATCTAAGAAGCAGAAAAGTTTAATATAAAAGAAATGAATTTGAGTTAAAGGGCACTGACATGTTAAATGTTATTCAGCTTTCATTTCATCACAGTGATTTGTCAGTTAGTATGCTATTGATTTGGTGTTCGGTAGTTCTGTTAGCTGATTATTCACGTTATAAATTTCACTTCTTGATATTGATTTGGTGTTTGGTGTTCGGATCTTTTGTAAAATTTTTACACTCGCATATATTCACGGCTATTTTTGATGTTGCTTAATTCTTGTTATGCAGGAACTTGGATTTGAGTATCTTGAAAGCAGAGAGCAACTTGTCATGACGTTACAAGCAAACTGGAATATTTAAACAGTTGTTCCATTCTTTCTTTTCTTTCACCTTTTCCTCTCGACAAATTGTGTTTTTTTTTTCCTTTGTGGATTACAAGCAAACTGGAATATTTAAACAGACCTTTAAGTGTTGACTTGAAAATGGAAATGAATGTAACTAATTTGTAATGTGAGTAAATTCTTTGTTTATCATAATATGGAACGTGATTGGAGTATAATTTGATGTTTGGTTTCTTTGTTGATGTGAATGTGTGCAATTTTTTTGTTGATGCTCAGGTTCAGTGTAGGCTTATAGTTGACAGAAAAGATAATTACGCGTTGCCAAAAATAATACATTTGCCGATGTTAAATTGTGTTACTAAATTTTTAACTTTTAGCGACGCACTAAATTGCGTCACTAAAAGTACCACTTTTGCCGACGCTTTCTTGCGTCGCCAAAGATATATTTTTTAGCGACGCTTCATTCTGCGTCGCTAAAAGCCACATTTTTGCCGACGCTAACTTGCGTCGCTAAAAGTATAAATTGCACTTTAGTCTTTTTCTAATGAGTTTTCCCCCTTAACTTCGAAGAACCATGATGTAAAAGACTCTCATTTACTACCAAAAAGTATAAAAATTTCAAACAATTAGTGATCATTTTTTAGCTTCCCCCCTTAAATTCGAATAGCCATGATGTAGAATTCTCTCATTTACAACTAATAAGGGGTGATAGAATATGATTCTAGAGATTTTAGCCAATTATGGACACATGATTAAGCCAATTATGGGGTTTATAAAATACATTCTACTGTAGAAACAATGAAACTAAGGCAGTAATCTATTCAAGGAATTAATTCTTCATCATTACATGCATGTATTTGTTGTGCTCTTTTATTTATGACCTATTAACATTTATATATAAATTTCAGTCTGCGACGGAGAAATTGCATCTCCCGGATGAATTGAAAAACAACTTATAGATTCATTTCCTCAAAACTTAGGAGGTGCAGCAAGGGATCAATTGGCTTGGCCGCATGCTAGGGCTTTCAGGCTATCTTCTGGAAAGCAGACTTTCGAGGTACTATTGAAGACAACCCATTCTTGAAGAAATCGGCGCCTAACCTCTAACATTATATTACTCGTCTCAAATGTAACATTAATCATTCAGTTTAGTAGCTTTAGTGAGTCATCGAGTTGAACATTTGTACCGAGAGCATGACTGATAATGCATGTATAATGTTTGGACACTTACATCACAGTGAAAGGAACTGCATAAATACAGAGCAAAACAGTGCATTGTTGGTAGATGACGACTGTTTGCCTTCTTAACTTGTAATTCTTTTACATTCTTATAAGTTTCTCTCAAACGGTCAAATGTGTTCCATTTAATTTAAATCTAATCAGTATTGTTTTCTGCAACGAGAATTCAATTATGATCAATTAATGTGAGCCCTTAACTAGCTTACAAATTTGCATTGGCCCCCCAATCAATCAATAAATGTAATTTAATTGTTAAAATGTTGAATGTTTAGATTATGTCTATATGTTTTATCCATTACTTACATTCCATAATTTTATAACAAGACATTATAAATAAAATTATAAATTTTAAACAAAAAATGAAAACTTTATCACGTGCATTGCACGTGCAATCCAACTAGTTTGATAGAAAAGGTGGAGTTATTTTTCATAGAAGATACCATAAAAGACCATCTTTCTCATTTCTCAAGTATCAGATTTACTTCACTTTTAGAAATTTAGGCTTATGAGTTGTGAAACCGAATCTATTTCAGCTCTCTAAAGGTTAGCGTAAAATCTTAGCTTCTCAATCAAAATAATAATTGAAAATTTTGTGAATGATAATCTTTTTTTGTTGATTAAGCAAATAATATTTATTCACCATTTTCTTACTTTTCTAATGTTTTTTAAATATATGAGCTACATGAAAATATTGATCTTGAAGATAAACATGTGGAGAATGTTAGTATTTGTTTGTAAAAACAAGATAATCCCACATCGGATATTTGAGAATTCTTTTAGAGGTTTAAAAGCATTTAATGATTATTAGGCTTTGATAAATGGATCAAAGTATAGATTTCTGAACTCGTGTGAGGGTAGTGCGAATAACGCGCGATTATTAGACGCACTTAGCACTTAGAGCGATTGCCGCCGTCGCTTATATATTCTAGCCTTTTAATAATATATATATTTTTTGAATATATTATTTTTAATGTTATTTTGAATTTTTGAAAATATGAATAGATAATTGGCTGTTGAGAAGTGTTTGTTTGTTCCAAGGGGTGTTTTGAAAAGTTATGACCGTTGAAAGCATATTTTCAAACTAATAAATAATTTATAATTTCGGAGATATTAACTTCACTTCTTTTTCAAAACTTTTCTTTCAAAAGCATCCGCAATACTATAAACTTGTTTCGCAACGAATTAGGGGAAAATTCCAGATTTGCTTGATGAAAATTTCATTTTCTGTTGTATCATGTGAAGAAAATTTGCATTAACCCGAAGCAACTTTGGATATCAAGCGGGGAAAATATTTTTTTAAGAAAAGTGTTTCACGCCTCAGAATTTCTGTCTCTTCTATATTTTTTCTAACAGAGAACAATGAGGCTAGAGTACTATGATTAAAGGGCTATTTGATTAACTATATCTGCAAAAGTCACAACTAATGTTACATAAAATCAAGACATTTTGGTTAGAACCGAGACGCGTTGTACTATTTGTGCTATTCGTTTTACTTCAATTAGGAATTAGTCCATGATTGTTCAGCTGGGGCCTGGGGGGAGTACTTCCACAGATGAGTGAATTAAGTCAAGCATGTTTTTAATTAATTCATTTCATTCACCTAAAAACTTTCACGAAAAATGATGAATTCCTATTTCAATACTCACATATTATAAATGCATATATTTATTAAAACACACTTTTAAAGATAATTATACATCATAAGATTTAGTTAGTATTGTATAAAACAAAGGGATTAAATGACAAGCTAGCCAAGGTGAAATTTTATAGAATTAAATAAAAGCTACAGTTTTCAGGAAACAAATACATTAAATTGAAACAAATTTAAATGAGAAATATCATAATCTAAACACTTGATTGAAAAGCATTATAGAAACAATACATTTGCCACAGACCTAAATACCTCATTGCATTAAAAAATTATAGCTTCACGAAGTAAATGCCTAATTTTGTAGAAACAAAACCTAAATAGTTATAGGGAAAACATTATAGAAAATTAGAAATGATATCAAATAATCATATTCCTAAAAAAGAAATTAAATTTGAGAAAAAAATCTAGATACCTAGACCCGAGATGTAGCATTCCCCCGCAAATGATTTCCGATTTGGGCTTGATAAGCGAAACCTATTTTTTGAGAAGCCACTGAAAAACTGGAGAGAGAGAGAGAGAGAGAGAGAGAGAGAGAGAAGAGACAGAGAGAGATTTTACTGGATCCTATAACTGTCACACATTTGGTTGGATGCTGAGGGCTATTTTGAACAATCATATAGTATATAGGGACTCTTTTGAGCTATCATCATATAGTAATAGTATGCATACTAGTCTAAGGGGGTGTTTGTTTCCAATCCTATAATTTTAGGATATGGATTTCACCATGAGATTTGAAATCCATAGGTAATTTGTTATGGGTTGTGATTCCTAAAACTTTGTTTGTTTCAACAATATCTTGGGCTCTGGAATACTATAATTTGTAATATTTTTGTTTGTTTCAAACTTTTTGGAATTTAAAATCCTTAATTTGTCTAACACTTTTGAAACCCACCCCATATCCCACCCAAAAAAGAGGATTTCACAAATCCTTAAATATAATACTTTTTTTATTATTTGGGGACTTGATATTCTAAAATTTGTTTTGAAACAAACAAGTTTTATGGAATTCTAAAACCCAAAAAAAACCCACTTTTGATCATAGAATTTGAAATCCCACCCAAATACCAAAAGTTTTTTGAAACAAACACCCCCTAAGCAAAGAAAGAGCATGAGGGGGCCATTGCAATCAAATTGCAAACGATAACTTCCACCCACGAACTATGCGTAAGTCACAATTATAATCTTTTTTTTTTCGTATTGGTAGCGAGGTTTAACACGCAATTTCAATTTATCGATTGGTCCTAATGAGGGTATAAAAGCTTGATATCGAAAATAGATTACCTAAAGTTGAAATTGCAAAAAAAAAAAATGAACCAACAATTACAACTAAAATTTGCGAGAGACCACGGTCACCCATATATGGGTTTGTAGGAAGAATCGTTGCACCAAACAAAATGAGTGCTAGCCAACCGATGGTCAGGCGTAGTTGCTAATTATTTACACCGTACGGCGCTCCAACAATAAATGAAATAAATCCATTTATTTATGACGACGTTCTTCTCCTCTGCAAAATCTCAGGTTGACATAATTAGGAGCTGCGAGCCTCCTATTTCTGGCGTCATTAAATCCATCTTCCCATAATTACCCCCCCCCCCCCCCCCCCCCCCCCTTGTTCTCTACCCTCGCTATCTCACCCCCAATTTTTTTCCTGCATTTTTGTTCTTTTCTACCCCCCTCTCTCTTTCTTCTCTCTCTGCACTTGGCACTGTTAGCCACCACCCTTTCACTCAGATTCATTCAATTGTAAGCTCTCCCCATTAATCCAAATCCCCTGTTTCCTTATCTTCACAAATCCTCCCCCATTCTCAAATCCCTTTCTGGGTTTTGATCCTCTCTCAATTCCCATCAAAACCCACATCTCCATTTCTCTTCTTGCTCCCCTCTCAATCTTTCGGTCCCCTCCGTTAATCTCAACCCCCTGTTTCCTCAACTTCTTTAACCCGCCCTCATTCTCAAATCCTCTTCTGGGGTTTGATCCCCTCTCATATCCGAGCAAAACCCATATCTCCGTTTCTCCTCTCGTGCCCATCTGAACCTTCTCTCGCCCCCCCTGGTTCGGTCTCTGCAATGGCGTTCTGCTCTTCGATGGCCTCGCCTCTCTGCACCTGGATCGTAGCCGCCTGNNNNGGAGGAGGAGAGCGGTGGCTCTCTCGAGCGTTGGAGACTTGAAGAGTGGGTTGATTTCGGCCAAAGGGTTTATCTCGGCGTTTGAGCCTTGTGAGGAGTTCTACAACAGTTCGAGAAATGGGTTCTTGTCTGGAAATGGAAGCGGAGAGGGTAGCCGGAGGCAGCGGAGGGATGCTCGGTCTCGTCCTAATTCAGGTAATTTTTTTTTTAATTTATTTGTTTTTGTTCGTTGATTTGATTAATGGTATATTTTTTGTTTCTCTTGGTGGAATGGAGATGCTGTCGGATTTCTTTATTGTATGTCTGAGATCTTGTTAGATAATAGTATTTTATTAAAGGGATTACAAGAACACAAACTTAGCCTAGTTTGTTATGGCATGGTTTTGATTTCATTTATTGTTTATAATCGTTTTTTGTATGTTTATTTGGTTCTTGATATAGTGGTGGAACTGGGAATGGGTTCACAGAAGTTGGAACAATTTTATCTGAATTTAATTTAATAATGGAAATCTATACTGGAGTGAGATCAATAGTCTAGGAACATGAAAGTTAAGATATTCAGAATATTGTCTGATGTAATGAATGAAAATGTCTGACATGAAAGTTGATTACATTTTTTTGATCAAGGGAGAATTGGTTCTCTTTTTTATGCTACATGTACGGGACAGCAGAAATTACTGGAATTTAAAAAAAAAAATCGTTTGTGATCTTATGAGAAGATTGGCTTCTGTTGTTCAATTATATTACTTGATTAATTAATGGATTGCGAGAAAACTAAGATTCCATTTTGTTTTTGCATGTTATTGATTTTTCATGTAAACCTTCTATTACTGCACCATCTGCATGTATGTCTTTCTTGGGAATTTAAGATCTTAGCTGATGCAGTTGAATTGGTCTTAAATCTTTTACAAAACTTTTTTTTTTGAGAAAAAGGATGGATTACCAAAATAGTAATCCAGCCAGCTAAATTAGACAAAAATGGTTGTTACAAAAATAGTACACATCCCCAACTAAGGATGAGTACCCTAGTTCAATCTTTTACAAAACTTAACTAGACCTTATCTTATTTCTTTGTTGTTGTATAGAGATTCTAATTGTAGGTTGATGTAATGTTGGAGCTGACAGAGTTTTGCAGCTTCTTTTGTTGTTGCCTTGGTTCCTATCCAAAAATTTATTTGATGGACTAGAACAAGCTTCACTTATTGTTTGGCAGTTCAAATACAATTATATTTGCTTATCAAGAGTATTTGCTTATGGGGGAAGGGAAATGGTTTAGAAGCCCTCAATGTACATAGAACAGCAGAAAGACAGTAGCATAATATTAAGTTAAATGTCCCGTTTGATGTTCTCTGTTCATGGATCCTAGGATATACTTAATGGACAATGGAGAAACTTTATGATAAGCCTTAACATTATGAGTTTCTTTTCAGTTGCTTCAAATGTTCTTTATTCTTTTGACATTTATTCAATTTGCATCAAATGATCTCAATTAACCGATGATGAATTTGTTTGTCTTGTTTTCTTAGCTTCATTAAGAAGTTCAATAATGTCATGTAAGGACCCGTCTGGTCAATTCAGTGGACACAATGATTTGAGGTCTTCTTTCTATAGCTGCCCGCACTATTTCTATTAGATTGATAAACATGGAAGTAAGTCTAAAATTAATGTGGTAATTTTGAGCTTAATTCTAAAGATATGTGGTTCTTCGAGTTCTACTAATACTTTTTAAAAGTGATGGTGTAGCCATTCCCAAAAGTTTAATAGATGAGACATGGACCAATATTGATTTGGTAATATGTGCAGGCAACGCTATGGCAGTAGCAGTTCAACCTACGGAGGAGATTATAGAAAGGAATAGAAAACATACGAAAGGGAGAAGAGTTGTTGTTACAGGGATGGGTGTTGTGACTCCGCTTGGCCATGATCCTGACATCTTCTACAATAATCTTCTCAAGGGTGCCAGTGGCATAAGTGAAATAGAAACCTTTGACTGTGCTGCCTATCCAACAGTAGGTTTTCTCTGGACTTCAAGCTTTGTCGTTCTTGTTCTAATTTTCAACTCTCGTAAAAAAAAAAAGAACTCAGAGAAGCTTTAAAGCTTTCTTCCATCATCTGACATGTCCATTTTATAAAGAGAATTGCAGGGGAGATCAAATCTTTCTCAACAGATGGATGGGTAGCTCCTAAACTATCCAAGCGGATGGATAAGTTCATGCTTTATTTGCTTACTGCTGGCAAGAAAGCATTGGAAAATGGTGGGATGTCAGAAGATATTATGAGTCAGATGGACAAGACGAAATGTGGAGTTCTTATTGGTTCTGCAATGGGCGGGATGCAGGTTGCATTTTCATCCTCTGTCTTATAATTTAACACTTCGACAATTGATTCATTATACACTTTTACCAGGTGTTCAATGATGCGATTGAAGCTTTGAGGGTCTCATATAGGAAAATGAATCCATTTTGTGTTCCATTTGCAACCACAAATATGGGTTCTGCAATGCTGGCAATGGATCTGGTTGGCAAACATAACTTATTTCTGAATTTGGTACCGTTGCTTTAAAAGCATGGTGGTGATGTTATTTATTGTTTTCTTCTCTATGGATCACAGGGTTGGATGGGACCAAATTATTCAATTTCAACTGCTTGTGCTACGAGCAACTTCTGTATTCTGAATGCTGCAAACCATATAATTAGAGGGGAAGCAGTGAGTGATGACATTATATCCCTTCAACCACTGTCACAAGTCAAAATAGTTATATGCATAACATAGAGTTTCCCCCTATCTTTGAATTGGCTTTCATTTGCTTTTTCTCCCTTCCATTATGTTGAACAATATGCTTTACTTTCTTTTTGTTATATATCTAAATCTAATACTTGCAGGATGTGATGCTTTGTGGTGGTTCGGATGCAGTAATTATTCCCATTGGTAGTTCGTTTCTCTTTTAATGATGGAATTTGCTTTATAATAAGGTAAATAGTTCTTTTACCATAGCAACACTCTTCCACATTGCAGGACTGGGAGGATTTGTTGCATGCAGAGCGCTCTCACAAAGAAACAGCGATCCGAGCAAAGCTTCAAGGCCCTGGGACATTGTAAATACTTATTATTTGTCTTTCCTTCATAAATCATAATTTAACATGCAGTCCAAATTTTATGCTCCCTAAACTATAAAAATTTCTTCATATGTTTTGAAATTTCAGTATTGTTACGTAGTTGAAAAAGGATAGCCAAGGCCCTGGGACATTGTAAATACTTATTATTTGTCTTTCCTTCATAAATCATAATTTAACATGCAGTCCAAATTTTATGCTCCCTAAACTATAAAAATTTCTTCATATGTTCTGAAATTTCAGTATTGTTACGTAGTTGAAAAAGGATAGGAAGTTGGACTACAGTAGGGAAGACAAAGACAAAGACGAGCCGTTAGTTTTGAAATGTTTACCATTAATTATTTAATGAATTTAACTCTCTCTAAAAGAGTTAACTACTATATGTGTCTTAATTTTCTTTACGATTTGACGTGTTTCATAAAATATATATTTACCAATTATAATAAAACATCGTTCATATTAGAGGTTGACATAATCTTCTAAGATGCTCATTAGTTCTAAGATGCTCAGTATGGTGTTGGAGATCTGTTTGTTATTTGATTTTGTGTTCCAGGATGCGATCAAGTGTCTTCAGGTATCTTTCTGGTTTTATCATGATCTTACTTAGCCCCTTTTGGATTTATATTTGTCAATCTCTCCTTGCTTTCTATTTTATTCGGTCAGTATCAGCTGAACCTCAGAATAGGAACGGGAAGAATAATATGTTTATAATTGTGAGAACTATAGGTTCGTTTTTTTTCTTTCTAATTTACGTTTTCTACTTAGAGCTACAGCCTGTTTCCTGTATTTATTGACTTAGTTTAAACCATTAAATGTTCTGGCAGTATCATGATAGGTTCATCTATGAAATTTAGTTTCTTTAAAGATATTATGACCTAGAACTGTTCACATCTATTAGTAACTTAAAGCTCATATTCCTGAGCATTTTCAGTGCTTTTACTGAAGGATACAGTAACTACTTCTTCGTACAATTAAGAGCTGAGATTTTGTAATAGATGTAACCTGTAACAATACACTTTAATTTAATGGCCGTAGTACTCTTTTATCTTATTTTCAACTCCTACATGCCAGGAGCGTGATGGATTTGTTATGGGAGAAGGGGCAGGTGTGCTGCTGTTAGAAGAGCTAGAGCATGCTAAGGTTCAATTAAATTAAGCTTTCCATTAACATATATATAGGAGTTTCGCTCCAATTTTTATCTCTCTTGAAATTAATTCTTTTTCTTTCTTTCCTTTTACAGCAAAGAGGAGCCAATATCTTGGCCGAGTTTCTTGGAGGAAGCTTCACTTGTGATGCTTACCACATGACTGAGCCACATCCTGAGGGTAGAAAATAAATCCACAGTTCAATTTTCACTTGTGATGCTTACCACATGACTGAGCCACATCCTGAGGGTAGAAAATAAATCCACAGTTCAATTTTCAGTTCTTGTGTGCTCTCTATATTTTCCATTTTTAATTGGATCACATTGTTATCTGGTTTTCCTTCGGATACCAGGAACAGGAATTGCTTTGTGCATCGAGAAAGCATTGTCACAATCAGGAGTGGCCAGAGAGGATGTCAATTACATAAATGCTCATGCAACCTCCACACCAGCTGGTGACCTCAAAGAGTATCAGGCTCTCATTCGTTGTTTTGGTCAGAATCCTGAGGTAAAGTAAATAACATGTATGAGTTAAAATATATATGTAGTGCTGTTATTTATTAACTAATTTTTTGTGCATTGCAGTTGAGAGTGAACTCTACGAAGTCCATGATTGGTCACCTACTAGGAGCTGCTGGTGCAGTGGAAGCTGTTGCTGTTGTTCAGGTAAGAAAACACTTGCTTTTCTTGGCAGATTTTGGAGAAAACATGTACATGACACATCAAATTAACTTTATTGCCCGTAGATCATGTAATCTATCAATTTCAATAGCTTCTAGAAGTAGTTATGTTATTTCTTTTCCCTTGTGTATATTGTTTTATGAGATTTTAGAGGTATTAGAAACTTTAACAGTTAATGGAAGGTCCATTAAGATTTTGGATGCCAGATGATGGGAATTAGCACTAACTGAAATAAAAGTACTCTTTGATCAAAATTTAAGTGTTTGATATGTGCACATTGCATTCAAGATTATTATTATTGGTCTCTTCCCCAGATGCGCTTTGGTACACTGGTATTGTTTAAAAAAATGGTTTGGGCACCCATCTGGGCATAAACAGTACCTAGGCCTCCTACTTAATTCTTGAGAGTGCCTAGGCGAATATGGGCTCCTTACATGGACTCATGGCATCAAAGAGGGGTTTATTGTCCTCTTAAGCATAATAACAAATGAATAAAAATGGGTCAAGTTAAAATGCAGCAGATGAGAACTCGATCCAAGATCCTCTCAAATAAAACGGTGACGATAGGATTTTAAAACTTTGAAAAAATTATTCCTTCTTGGGTGCTAAAAAACGCCTACATGCCGCTTAGGTGCTGGGTGCATGGCAGGGGCGTAGCCAGGGCAGTCTTGCCCTGGGCAGCTGCCCAGGGCAAGAAACTGCCCCACTTCACCTCCCCCTCCCGCCTCCCCTCGCTTCCCTTCTTCTCCAGCCACTTCACCTCCCTCTCTCCCGCAGATCCAACCTCCTCTCCCTCCTCTTACAGGACCTCCATCTCAACAATCTCCAACCCTCCTCCCTCTCCCTCACCTCCCTCTCCCTCACCGAGCTCCTCTCCCGCCTCCGTCGCTTCAAGTCCCTCACCGCCGACCACCTTTATTTTTCGCCCAGGGCAAAAAATATTTCTAGCTACGCCACTGGTGCAGGGCGTTATGGTTGGCGCCCAGAAGCGCATAGCGGTTTCTAAAAGCTTGTACGTTGGTAGGAGATATCTTCTCTATAGAGTAATTTTGAGCAATCAATGTTGCATGTATTATTGGACGTAATGTACTTTGAAATATAGTTGATAATTGTAGGAATTTGTCGTCTATATTTCTATTTCCCCAATTCGTCTAGAAACCCTTGGCAAACTCTATAGCTTCTATTTTGGATTTTTTTCTCACGTTATTCAGAATGTGGTGCATTAAAGTCGGATGTGGGACATGTTAGATAGAAATTTCATTTCGGATGGCGGATGTCGAAAATATTTAGTAAATATTATGGTATTAAATAAGATAATATGTAAAATATCATATATGTCCATACTTGATGCATAGAGAATGGAGCTGTGGAGAAAGATATCTTTACATGATTGAAACATGAAACTAGTAGAAAGATTATCAATATTTCCATATTATACTGTTGAAATATAAGGAGAGATTTAAATGGCGAGAGATTTAATGAGATAGAAATTTATCAACAACAAGCAATCTAAAAGGAGAATGGACTTATCAGCAAAACAAGTCGATAATGAATGCATGGTTGAGACAGTGCCACAACACAATCCACCTTGAGGCGAGTAGGAAAAAATAGAAAGAACTGCAAAACTCTTGTAAAGAATTTAGATCTCAGTCGAGCCACAATTCAAAACACTTTGATACAATTAAAGCTCAAATTGAAATTACAACGTTTTGGTCGATTTTTTTGAGTCGAAATGTCACATGAAATATGAGGAAATTTCCCTTGATATACCGCCAAAAATTTGCCAAAAGCAGGAAGATTTCTGAAAACATATATTTTGCAACAAGCCTTATAAAAAGACATATTGCCTAATATATCGGTTATGTCAATCGATATTTTAAACAATTGTTAGATGACATAGTCATATTGTTAGATGACATAGTCATATTGCATGATGAGAATGGGTTTCCCCCCTTTACATTTATTTATAATCACTTGATAATCAATATTCTATAATTCAATTCCAATCGAGAGGACATTAATGAGTGCAACGTGATTTTAATTGAAACTATGTGCTTCTCATATAAAAAAGTATCTATATTAAGGCCTTTTTAGATTTAAAATTTCATCTTAAATATGAAAATTAATCTTTGTTTTGTTATCCAATTTTAAAATTCCTCTAGTTTTAAATTTGTGAATGTAGAGGTTCAGAATTTTACGTCCCATTTGCATCACATATTTGCGGCTAAAAGAGATTGTAAGTGAAACTCACCCTCTTTATCAAACAAAAACATAATAAAAGTTAACTATTACGTATAGAGCAAAAGCTTGAGACCATCCCAATCACACTCGGCCTGCGAGCTCATTAGCGCAATATAAGCCATAAAACCCACTAAGTGCAACACATGGTTTGCTTTAATCCACTAGCAAACTTGGCTCATCAATGTTACAATTGACTCCTTGGATTTACATTACAAACCATTCAAACAATCAGTCAATGTCTAATGTGAGACTAAATCTTGGGGTATCACAATCACCCTATCTTAATCAGTAGACGTGCTTCTCGTCACATGATAATCGGTCCATCTTAGTATCACCATCAGATGATGTAGACTCTAAAGATAACTCCTACAGGGTTCTAGAAGTGACTCCCACCACACTCACGTGGTGTAGCACTTAGTCTCGTGTAGCGTTTAGCTCCACATTTCTAGCTAGCTAACTGCTCTGATACCATTTGTCACACCCTAAACTGCGAACCCGTTGACGCGATGTAAGCTGTGAGACCCACTGAGTGCAATACATGGTTTGGCTCAATCTGCTGTCATAATTGACTAGTCAATGTTGCACTTGACTCCTTAGACTTACACTATGTACCATTCAATCAATCAAAATATCCAATGTGAGATTAAATGTTGGTGTATTACAATCCCATTACTCAAACCTCATCCTTCTCTTGTTAAGAGATATCTCTTTTATTGCTATATAAGATTATAAATTTTTTGCCTATATACATCAAATTTACCTGTATGTTTCCCAATATTGGATTTCTATATCCCTCATTTAATATCATTGAAAGAGAGTTTGGACACAATGGCAGAGCTGTCGTATAACCTGGAGGTTAGTTTCGAGTCCTAGAAACAGTCTCTTGTAGAAATATAAGGTAAGGCTGTGTACAATAGCTCTAAAGTGGTTGGGTCCCTTCCCGGACCCCTGACATAGCTGTAGCTTTGTGCATTGGGCTGCCCTTTCTCATTTAATATTGTTAAAATTCATATGGGTTCGTTAGCAAATATGCAATGTACAAGATAAACAACAAATTCAATCTCATATATATATATATATATATATATATATAATATATATATATATATAATATACACCGAGATTAATGGTATCCTTGTCATAGGAGGGGATTTCTCCTATGACGCCTCTAAAATCACATGATTGAGCGACATTGTGTGGATGATCCGCTCCGTTGAACTTGATCTACATATTCTAAAACTCTAACACCAAGTTTGGGGTGAATCCGTCGTCGTTTGACCCTCCATCGAACCATGTGAAAAGTTCTATTCATTCAAATCGTTAAAATTGATACGAGTGGATAAAGGGTCAAACGACGACGGGTTCACCCCAAACTTGGGTGTTAGAGTTTTAGAATATGTAGATCAAGTTCAACGGAACGGATCATCCAATGTCGCTCAATCATGTGATTTTAGAGGCGTCATAGAGGAAATCTCCTCCTATGACAAGGATACCCATTAATCTCTCTCTCTCTCTCTCTCTCTCTTATATATATATATATATATATATATATATATATATATATATATAAGAAATATGGAGACCTTTGTACACATAGTTTCTCCATTGAACTTGGTAGTGACATGGAGAGATCTGACCCTCATCACGCCTCAAAAATAGAACCTCAATCACTTATCACCTACCTCCAAAATAGAGGCCCTAGTTTCGAGGAATGATGTAGGGCCAGATTTGTCAAAAATCACTACTAAGTTCAATGAAAAAACTTGGTACCAAGGTTCTTCATCTCTCTCTCTCTCTCTCTCTATATAATAGTATATATTATATATATATATATATATAATATTATAAATATATATATATATTAAATATAGTATTCAATGGTGTTAAGTATTCAATGTAAGTATTTTAACTCAATATTTAGAATATACAGTAAATTAGTAAATATTCACATTTCGAGGTTAAAATTGAAAGTAGGATAGATTTTGGAGGATGCACTGATAAAAACTAAACTTTTAGCATATGAATAGGACTTCACGAAATGTGACCAAGTTTTAGTATATTTGAACAAATATTTTTTTTAATATTTTAAATAAAATTATTGAAAGTTGGTCTCAAATTGAAGTAGAATGGTTTTAGCGATTTTTTGGAGTTAATAAGTCCAATAAGTCAGGTCAGCTTCGTTAAATGAATAGTATGGCTTTTGGGAGCCATAACTTTAGAACTAAATAAAATCAATAACAAAAGTATCATATCAAGGTCTTTAGAAACTCGTGACTGTTGCTGTAGAAGGAATTTGGTAAACTGGGGTCCAATGAACTTTAATTATTGGCCGTGCTATAGAGCTCAGAATAAGCTTTCCAAATTGGGGTTTATTGTCCAGTAACTCCTCCTAGATCAAAAGTTATGCTCCCCCTAGATCAAAAGTTATGCTCCCGGATCAAAGTTGTTGACTTATATATAAGCAGATTTTTTTAATTATACATATTTCATTGGTTGGCCAATAAAAGGAAAACAAGTTATCAGTAAGTAAATAAAAGGTAAACAATTGACCATATAAAAGGAGGGCCGTTGGGGAACGACATGTGTCTAGTGGGTAAGGCACCACATAAATGAAAAAAACGTCGATAACAATTTTTCATAGTAGTAACATAACATAGCCAGAGTTCTAGGCATGCAATATTCGGAGTTATAATAATGCACGTAGATCTCCGGATGTAGTGGTGTATAAGTACAAGATATTTTCAAATGTGTATTTTGGTCATAGTAAATGCTGAGTTACACTGGCATGAACAAAAACGCTGATTGGATGACTGTTTAAAGTAAGTTCAAATTCTCAAATGATCTAAGACACTGGACCACCATCAATATGTAACAGTATTAGTGCAATACGCATATTTTCAATTTATAACTAGTTTCTGCTATGTATTATGCTTTTGATTTGTGCAGTGATTTAGTATTAGTGCAATACGCATATTTCCTGTTGGGCATGAGTATTTCTCGTAATGATATATTTTAATAATGATATATTTCTCCTCTGGTTACTTTTCCCCCGTCATTTGATGATATGCAGGCAATTCGAATGGGGTGGATCCATCCAAACATTAATCTGGAAAACCCAGAGAAGGATGTGGTAATGTTATTTATTCTTTCCTTGTCTTCTCACAAACTTTATTAACCGCTTAATTGCTTAAATGACAACTGATAAAAAATAGACGGAAAAAAAACAAAGAGACAGAAATGTCAAGGCACTGCAACCTTCGAAGACAATTATTCCCAAAATGTTTCTTTGTTACTTCTTTTTCTTCTAGTCACAAATAATCAAGTATTAACAGTTCTAGCTTTCCGTGAGCTACCCTGTAGCCAAAACCGCTACATATATGATTTCGTCAATTCGTGTGAACAACCTTATAAGCATGTAAAGTGGCATTTTATCACATTATATTCTCATATAGGCTTTTGTTATTCTGTGAATTTAGGATATGAAAGTTTTGGTGGGCTCAAAGAAGGAAAGATTGGATGTGAAGGTGGCACTGTCAAACTCCTTTGGCTTTGGTGGCCACAACTCATCCATTCTCTTTGCTCCTTACAAGTAGACGTTGCAATATAACTGCTGGCCTTCAAATATGGGACTGTGCCATTGTCTGTTTCATGATCTCTTCAATATGATGGCATGTAGTCATTTGCGTTGACGTACTTTCTCAATGTTCAGAGGATGGAAGTGTTGAGAAGAAACAAATTTTGCGCTCTATCCTTTTGTTCTGTATAGAAACTTGTTCATATTTCCTGTTCTATTTCGCCCCTTGTAATCTCTAAAACTGAACCTGTTGTAGTAGTTTTTGGAACAATGTAGAGCAAAACGTTTTATAGTTTTGGTTAAGGGGGCAATATGTTTCATGTTGGCAGGAGATATTATAGATATTTTGTTTAGTCTTATTGGTGTGAAACATGCTCCACTAAGATTTTGTCCTTCGTGTTATGGTAGTATTGTATGAGGAAAAGCTTACGCTCTTCTTTTAATTCCCCGTATAAATTATTATCAGTCAACAAGTATAACTATACATATACATCCGACAAGATGCTTAACATATCAGACATGCATATAACTACCATGTTGGCAGACAAAATGCGATTCATAGTAGAAATAATCTATATTTCAAATCTCTTCTCATACAAAGATCTCTCTAGCCACTCTCAGCACCCAGTAAGATGATGCATGGCAAAAGTATGATAAATATGTGAAGCCTCTTGAAGACCACAGCTACAAAAATATTGTAGGAAATTTCTCTGAAAAACATGCAAAGCCCAAAAAACTCAGTGTCCGAAAACTCAAGTTACACGCTACACATTGTCAAATCACCAAATTTCCTGCATCACAGAAAGAACTGATGTACAACAAATTAATGCCCATCTCAACTACTTGTTTCCTCTCTTTTTCTTCTTTAGGTTCACTCCTTTAGCAGAGAGAGCAGCAGAGGCACTCTTCCCTTCAAACTTCTTCGTAAACTTCATCACACTCGCCATTCCTTTACGAGCAGAAGCCTTTCGCTCTGCTCTTCGATTCAACAACTTCCTATCCAAAGGCCAATACGCATAAGGATCAAGCTTATCCTTCTTCTTAACATCACCACTCGACTTTTTATTAGTATACTCGTTGCCAGTATAAGCCCATCCAGATTCTGATGTCTTTTGGCGCTTCTTCTGAGCTTTGGCTGAAGATTTTACAGAATAACGACTTCCAGTTTGGCTTCTTGTGTCTTGGTCATGATCTTGGTGACTCTTTGGTTTTCTTAGATAACTGCCGTCTTCTTTTACAACTAGGCGACCATCAGGGTCAAGCTCGGGCTCATCCTGACATTCTGTTTTTCTTTTGACTCGGGTTGAGGATTGAAGTGCTGATCTTGTTCTGTGTCGATCTAGCAAGTCGAGAGGGTCATCTTCCATTTGATCGAGCAGGTCTTCGGGCAGGCTCTTAGCTGCCTGAAGCTTCCAGATTGACCTATAAAAACCATATTGCACAGAATGATAATCAAGGCATATACTTTAGTTATTTTTGTGACTTCCTCAACTTTCTAATTTAAGATTGGCAATGTTTGGGTGCTTGTAAAGAAATATTGAAAACAACTTCAGTCAAGAAGTATACAAGATGTTGATTCCATGTGATGTCTGCCAACTAAAAAGTAAAATTAGAATGAGATTGTAAAATGTGTGGCTTTTTCGTTTTTTGTTTTGTTTTATTTTTAGCAGGATGATGACAATATGCGAAATTTAGGTTAATAACAGTCGGCCTTCGTTTTTGTCAAAATTCAGGCAAACAAGTCTGAATAGGATCTACGGTACCAGCATTTGACAGCTAAACACTGGCCAGATACTCACAAAGCCACAGATCTGTGCCCATAACCATCAAAACAGGAGTTGATACAGAAAACAAAATTGACAAGGAAAAAAAATATTTAGTACGTAGTTGTGTAAAATATGTACGTACGCATTTACATATGCATGTTTGAGCATGTGTCTGCATATGTGCATGAAAGAATGTACATGTGCTTGTGTATTGTGTGTTGATGACATCTATATATCTGTGCATATGTAATTTGTCTATGCCAATACCTCAAGGAAGCTCTTGAAGCAGCTTTGGTATGAACATATGTACATGTGCTTGTGTACTGTGTGTTGATGACATCTATATATCTCTATATACGTAATTTGTCTATGCCAATACCTCAAGGAAGCTCTTGAGGCAGCTTTGGTATGGCGCTCAACCACTGTCTTTGCTCCTGCATTTTCAGCATCACTATCATCATCCATGCCGTCATCTCCTAAATCTGAAAAAATGCGAGTGTGATTCCATCTGCTTTGCCTGAAACATGGATAATACTCCCGTGTTAGCAAAACTATCCCAGGAAGCCCTGAAATCAAGCTATGAGAAGTAATAGCACTGATCAGAGAAAATAAAATAAAAAACTTTTCACATACAAGATTTTAAATAAAACGATCACCTTTAATGGTGTCAAATAAAGCAACTAATGACTGGCCTCATTAACCTTTCCAACCAAATTTGATTGTGCTACCAAATTTTCTAATTTGGTTATTTATTTACAATGTAGGAACAGACTCATAATTCATGTCAGGACTGAAGAACCACAAATATACAATAATATAAGTAGAAAACTGGGGAACCCATCAGTCATCAAGTTGAACATCCTCTACAAATATACCCAACTGTAGTGATCATCAATGTTTTCAAAAGCACGCGCCTCACTGCGCCTCATGTGCCTTGGAATGCGGAGCGGTGGCGAAGCGTCCTGTATCTGATGCAGCGGCGCCTTTTGCACCTCGCAATAATCCTGATTTTGCGCAAGGTGCATGTAGTACATACCCTCATATAGTTTTGTTTGTTAACATATCAATCGAGCCTTTATACTCGATAATCCATATCCCAAAAAGCAAAATAAAGCCATCAGGCCTTTTTAGTGGTCTTCAATTGAGAACCATAAGTAATCCTTTGCTTGGATATTAGTTCTTGATTTGATATTTGATTTGAGAATTTATGAATTTTGCTAGTATGTTGGGTGTTAGCATTAGAAATTGAGACCTTATATTAAGATATTATAGTAAGATATTATTTATTCTGACATATTTTTTATGTGAATTCCTAAACATGTTCTTTCATGATTGATTATATATCTTAAAAATTTATGTGTGCGGTGTGCACCTCGCATCACTCAGGCGCACGCATTGCGTTGCGCCTTGCGCATGTGTGCGTAAAGATGCTTTGTGCCCCGCATTGCGCCTCGCACATTGACAACACTAGTGATCATAATATTAGCCGATGCATTAAACTGAAGCTTCAATTTCCACCCAAAAACATATCAGCAGAAAAAATCTATACATGAGGCATCAATGGTTATCTCAGATTCTTTAGTACCTATGTCGTAAGATGCTAAAAAACTGAATACTAGCAGATTTCTTTTAAAAGGTTCATCATATATTAAGTATACACATTAATAACATAATTGAAAAGATAACAGGAGACAACAGTATTGATCAGGAGATACAAACCGACACTGATTTTTCTTTTGAACAAAAAGGGATGACGATATGTGCGGGAGAGAAGGCATATCCTCTTTCAGCAAAAGACAGGAATTCTACTGAAATCCACTACCATCATGCAGGAAACTTTAAGAATTTGTATGTTTATATCTTAATTTAATTTAAAATGTGAACAATTCAATATAAAACATGCTTAGAAAGATTACAAAGAATATAATTGCACTTTCACTGAGAGACAATTAATCTATCAAAACCAAACACAAGGACACATCTGTCTCTAGTTAATGCAGGCGCTACCTGGAAATACTTGTTTTAGTATGAATTGATTCTGAATCCTCATCAGATTTTGCTTTTCTTTCTTTCCGCTCTTTGATCTATCAATCGAACGATAAAATTAGAAAATAATTAGAACCAACTCGGTAACATAAATGCCACAAGTCAGTTACAAGTTTTTCTACCTTTCTTATGTTTGTAAGGAGTTTCATATGCTCCTCAGGCATCACTGCTCTAACAGCATCTACACCGCATTTTCTCACAAGCATTTCAAGAAGTAATTTGACCTGCCAAAATAAATGAGAAGAGTGTATAACTCTATCATTGAAATAGCACATCTATTATAGGTAATTTTCTGCAGACAATGAAATTATAAACATGTAACAAAATCTATGCAGCACAAAAGAAATAGAGTAGCGCCGTTTTAATGTCCAAGAGAAGGCACAACAAGTTACATCTATAAAACAACAGTAGAAATAACAATGCATAAGCCTACCACCTTACCAGCATTTTTATTAACACATTTTTACATACTACAAAGTCCAAAGAATACATGCTTTCAGTAAGTTATGTAAACAAAATTCCAACAATCAAAACATATGTTTTTCTTAAGAACCATCACCTGAAATTGTTGGGCCACAATTCAGGAGTCCTTTGTTGTGAATACACAACAAAGGATAAGTGCATCATGATGCAGATATCTGACTGCAGGTTTAGCGGAATGAAATCAGTTCATTCCAAATATTACCAACATATATGGAAACAGAGGCCAAAACAAGTTCAGAAAATACAGTACCTTAGCTTTAAAGTGATTTTTAGTATTATCTTGCCATTTCAACAACCCTTCGACCATTGTCCTTAAATGCATTTGCAGTCCCTCCGACTTGGATTTTGCTACTAGTACCTTGATCAATCCCAAATTTGCCTGTGCAAGTACAGTAAAAAAAGCAAATACAGCCAAATATACAAAAGCTTCAGCTGACTATCAAAATTTTCATGACTTAAATTTGTTGCGCTCAAAATAGTAGAAAGATACTTTGATTATTTCTCGATTTTTCCTTTGGAGGAGAAGAAATGAAGATGGAAGCAAGCTATAAGCTGCACCAACGAGATCTGAGAACTCATAAACCAACCGAGCTAACCCTTTGACAGCTGCACTGATCATGTGTGGCTTTTCACCAGCCAAACCTCCAGCAACCTAGGTTTGAATAGAAAGATCAAAAGGCAAATAACTACAATTTAATCACATCACCCAAATGTGTCCACAACCTGAAGCATCAAGCAAACAACAAAGCAAATAAACATGCGCGCGCACACAACCCACAAACCCACGCATTTGTGCGCGCGCACACGACCCGCAAACCCATGCATTTGTGTGCACGCACATACATCGTCGAAAACACCATTTCTAGGGCCTAAGGGCATAACACCATTTTTTTTCTAGGGTCTAGAGGTACCAAAATTAAAAATATGCACTCTGAATAATTGATATTACCATTTTAAAAAACTCAAATAGGTTTTCCTTTTTCCCGCCCTGGTCTTCATCTCCACATGCATGGCCAATCTCAACAAGCAAATCATAAGCCCTGTTTCTTGTTTTTCTATTAACCTGCAAGCAAATTCAAACGCATTACTAAGGATGTAGAAAGCTGAAATATTTACATACATGAGAACAAATAATACAATTATAGCAGATAAAAAGAACATGTTGCAAGATGAGATAAAACAATTAAATAAAGGATTAATTACAATCTTGTACCTTGAAGTATGGTGTAATTACACCTGGAGTTTGCATATCTATATGAGTAACCTGGAGTTACTGGTTGTAGTTACATCGATAACCCTAGGAGTTGCTTGTCATCTAGGCTTCAGGGTCACTCTTGTAACTACAATTTGTAATCTCAGCATTACCCATGTAGATATGCAGAATTCAAGGTTACCCATCTAATTACACAATACCTCAAGGTATTAAATTGTAATTAATCCTTAAATCAATCACCGAAGGCTATACCAAGCACGGGCATGAAACAGCTCAACAGATAAGCAATTAAGCATAAATAATAACAAAGATAGGTAAGAAACAAACTATCTGCCAGAGCACCAAACAATATTGAACACGCTGCAGCAAAGATAATTTGCATGAGAACAAGTACGAACTTAAGATCTCAAATAGCTCCCAACAAATCACAACCTAAAAATAAGGGGGTGGGGGTGCTTTCTGCAGCTGGATGTCTTCCCAAATTATTACAATTTAAGATATGCGTAAAGGAAGTCTTCATCTGATAAGTTAAAATCAAATAAAAAGACCAAAAAGTTAAGTGGGAAGTAAGAATTAGACGCTCATCCGTAGTGGCGGATCAAGGATTTCTTAGAAGTGGTGTCACTACAAAATAAATAATTAAAAAAAAAATCTATGATTGTCCCCCAACAAGTTTTCATATTTTGAAAAAAGTACATAATCATATCATTAATAACACCATAAAAAACACCATGTCCCCCCCCTGAAATAACACTATCAAGTACATCTTGCTCAATATACATCCCCAATCATGGGTTCTTATGATAAAATTACACAAGGAGATATTTTACGAGTGAGCTTTTATGGGCTTTTTAAAGAAAACATTGAACATTAAGGAGTCTCCATACATTTTAAAAGTTAATGGGAACTATCTAAGAAAAGCCAAAACTTTGGAGGGGTTTTCTGAAATTTACCCTTTTTAGTCGGGTGGGATGGAGTGGAAGTTGGAACTCGGAAATTGAAGTGGGGTCTTACGGGTTAATAAGTGGGGCTAGTTTGTTAGTGAGGTGAGTTCTTTTTCAGAGGGTGAGTTTTCAGTTAGGAAGTGGTCCGCCCCTGCTCACCCACACCCAGTACAAGTAAGTGCAATACCAAGCCTTGTTTAGATTATACTAGTAATAATGCACGTGCTTTGCATGTGAACATAAATGTTTTAAGTTTTAAATTTTTTATTTTGAATAGTAAATCTATGTGTTAATAAATAAAATTACATAATAAGATTGCTTAAAAAGAAATATATGAATTAATTATTATTGTATAGTTATTGTAGTTGAATGTTTTTCTATAATGATCGCCCAATATTAAAAAAAAATTAAATAAAAATAAGCCTCCAAATCTAAACTTGTTCTTAAATAAAACTGTCAATTCTATAAGTTCTCTTAAATATGCGCCTCCACCTTGAAAGTTGTTAATTTAACTGTAAATTAACTAACTTGAATTAATCTTGCTAACTTTTCCTGATGTTTCCTAAATAGTTACACTTGATACCTACAACATATTATAATAGTTAATTCACGTCATAATTATTTAATATAATAGGGTAAATTGCACTAAACCCTTATGAATTTTCAGCATATATGAACTTTCAAAATTACACAAAACCCTAGTGATTTTTCAATTCAAAGAAGACCTCTAGTAACTTTTTGCATTTTATAAATAACGCCTACAAATTAGAACCAGAAAATGGCATGAAACGGCATTTTGAAAGTTAGTGGGTGTTTAGTGCAATTTATCTAGAAGATATTGGGGGCTTTCTACAAAAGTTAGCATTTTGAAAGTTAGTGGGTGTTTAGTGCAATTTATCTAGAAGATATTGGGGGCTTTCTACAAAAGTTATTACGGGTTTAGTGTGATTTCAAAAGTTGCAATTTATCTAGAAGATATTGGGGGCTTTCTACAAAAGTTATTACGGGTTTAGTGTGATTTCAAAAGTTCATAGGATCTATTTATTGCAAAATGCTAAAAGTTCATGGGGGTTTACTGCAATTCACCTTATTTAATATTATAATTTTTAGTTCAAGTAGTACTATTAAAATAACTATGTTGTCTATATACTATAAAATATTTATCTAATTTAATTTTTTAATTATGTTCTTAAATAATTTATAAATTTTTATTATATTATCATTAACAATTAATAACACTATTATTAATATTAAATAATTTTTTAAAAATGTTAGCTTTCAATCATTACCAAGTATAGATTTTTCAGTATCATGTGATGATCTTTGAGAAAATACTCTTAAAATAATATTAAATTACTTATTTAATTTATTTAGTAATATAATACTAAAGAAATAGTGTAATTCATAATTCACATGATATTATTAAAATAATTACACTATTTATGCGATCCAAAATTTATTCTATTATTTTATTGCTCATCAAATTATAGTATAATTCCTAATATCATTTAACAATATATTATTCTAATCATACTATTTTTTTAATTATTTTATTATAATTCATGAATTATTAATATAATAATTTAACTGATTACTACTAATAATTGTGTATACTTATTTTATAAAGTGTTTTATTTTATTATTTTTAAGCAATTAATAATTATAATATTATTGATTAATATATTTATTTAGGAAGGTGAGGAGGTGCATAATCAACAAGTGGTTATGTGTATTTAATGAAAGATTAATTAGAGACAATGACATAGTAAGAATTTATCAAAATTTGAGAGAGCAAAAAAATAAATTAAAAGTTTTGACACCCTAATCCTTTTTTATAGGAGTATAGATATAGATAGATAAGTGAAATATCCATATTGTATAATTTTATGGTAAATTTTATGGGAACAGCCTTAAATTTAGCCATTTTTTGTGAAATATCCATATTGTATAATTTTATGGTAAATTTTATGGGAACAGCCTTAAATTTAGCCATTTTTTTAGATAATCCTCGATTTTTTCAGATAACTCTCAACTAACGCCATTTGATCTGATTTTGTATATGAAATTCATGTGCATCCAAATAATTACAATGCCACTGACGGGAAAGAAATCCCTTCATATCCTTTTCAATAATTTAATGGTAATTTTCACAAAAACGAACCTTAAGTTCGATGCCAATTTTTAGGATTTTGTTCTAGGTTTGTTCGAGAATGGGAAGAGAGGGGGTTGTTAGGATGTTGTTCAAGGTTTGTGGGGGCCAATCAAAATGAGTTTGGCATTTACTTGTAGATTCTTAAAAAAATAATGGTAAAACAACCTTTGGTTATACTAGTATAACGTACATGTTTTAAGTTTTGAATTTTATGCGTTAATAAATATAATATGATTGCTTAAAAAATGTATGAATTAATTATTATTGTGTAGTTATTGAAATTGAATGTTTTCCTCATAATAATCGCCATGTATTAACCTTTTTTTAAATAAGTCCCCAAATCTAAATAGTTATTAAATAAAACTGTCAATTCTATAAGTTCTCTTAAATATTGACCCTCCAACTTGAAAGTTAATTTAACTCAAAATTAACTAAGCTGTATTAATATTGCTAGCTTTTTCCTGATATTCCCTAGATATATTCCCTAAATAGTTATACTTGATACCTGCAACATAGTGTAACAGTTACTTCTTATTATAATTATTTAATAGGGTAAATTGCACTAAACCCTTGTGAACTTACAACCTATATAAACTTTCAAAATTACACTAAACCCCTAATGATTTTTCTATTTCAAAGAAGACCCCAAACTAATTTTCTGAATTGCGCAGATAACCCTAATAAATTAGAACCAAAAAATGACATAAAAGACATTTTAAAAGTTAATTTGGGGTTTGGTTTAATTTATCTAAAAGATATTTGAGGCTTTCTACAAAAGTTATTAGGGGTTTAGTGTGATTTCAAAAGTTCATAAGGTCTCTTTACTACAAAATGCTGAAAGTTCATAGGAGTTTGCTATAATTTGCTTTATTTAATATTATAATTCTTAGTTCAAGTAATACTATTTAAATAATTATATTGTCTATATACTATAAAATATTTATCTAATTTGTTTTTTTAATTATGCTCTTAAATAATTTAGTACCATAAATATTTTATAAATTTTTATCATACTATCATCAATAATTAATAGTACTATTATTAATATTATAATTTTTTAAAAGGGTTAGTTTTAAGTTGTTACCAAGTATAGATTATTCAGTATCATATAATAATCTTTGAGAAAATACTCTAAAAATAATATTAAATTATTTCTTTGATTTATTTAGTAATATAATACTAAATAAATACCGTAATTCATAATATATGTGATATTATTAAAATAGTTACACTACTTATGCGATTCAAAATTTATTCTATTTATTTTATTGCTCATTGAATTATAGTATAATTCGTTACACTACTTATGCGATTCAAAATTTATTCTATTTATTTTATTGCTCATTGAATTATAGTATAATTCCTAATAGTACTTTGTAATATATCATCCTATTTTATCTATTATCTTAATTATTTATTACAATTCATAAAACAATTATTATAATAATTTAATTGGTTACTACTAATAATTGTGTATACTTGTTTTATAAATTAGTTTATTTTATTATTTTAAATAATTAATAGTTATAATATTATTGATAATTATAATTATTTAGGAAGGTGAGGAGGTGCATAATTAATAAGCGATTATATTTATTTAATGAAAGATTAATTAGAGATAATGACAGTTATAATTTTATTAAAATTTGAGAGGGTAAAAAAAAAAATTTAAAAGTTTTAACACATCAATCCTCTTTATATAGTAGTATAGATTAAACATTTCTAATCAATTTACAAAAATGTGTAAAAATGTGTAATTCATACGAAACCTTTTGACAACTGTGCAACTTACATTCAATTACAAAATCTTTGGAAGTTAGGAGTTAGAAACCCTAAGAGTCTAATTTTAATGCCGTAAGTCAACCTACAGGGCGTTCCTGCTTCCTATGGACCATTGTCAAAAACTCTGAACAGAGCAAAGAGAGTGAGATTGAGTGAAAGAGTAGCAGAAGAGGGAAGGAGGCGACAATGATGTTTCTCAACAAGTATAAAGGAAAGAGGCAACTATATGAGACATACCAAACTTTTTCAAACTATGATAGTATCAAACTTATGAGTCGCACTATGAAACTCTAGAAACTCTGGGAGAGAGTAATTGAGCCAAGACTAAGAAATGAGACAAGTATCTGAGAACCAATTTGATTTTATACCAAGAAGGTCAACTAAATGGTATCTATTTATATATATTACGCCAACTGATTAAGGTACATAGAGAGAAGATCAACAACGGAACCTATTTTTCTTTCGATATCATTGTAATGGTTTATACGCACCTTGTCGGATGCCTGAAATCATTTATTGTGTTCTGAATGATGACATGTACTCGTAAAAGAAAACAACAAATAAATAAAACTCTAGGTAATACGGAATGGTTTTTAACAGCTAACTCACAAGATACCCAAATTATATTCTCAGTTCCCTAGAGAGTCTAAGTGCTGGAAATTTCATTTAGTTATTCCACAATCAAAGGAGAGTGTCCGTTGTATTTTTCCCCCTCCTAAAGTTCTTAACAGAAATCCATGATTTACCTCTTTTAATGCAAGGATTATTTCAGTAAGAAATGCAATGATGCTCTCCGTCTTCCTTTGCTCCGATGTGTCCTGTATGAGGAACAGTAAATATTAAGCTCTAAATAAATATGTAATGAAACTGTCAGTGTTCCAAATTAAAGAGATCCGGAAATTCACACACCCGAATATATGTTAGTGCCCAAAAACATCATTACGGGCTGTACCAACCTTTGAAACATAGACAATCAAGTAATATAAACTGTCAAGTCTGTGGCGTTTGGCTGAGAAGTGACATGAATCGGTGGCTTCCAACAGCAAAGGAATTAGTTCATCCACTTTACTTGAAAGAAATTCATCAGATTCCTGACCATGTTCACACGAATACAACTTAAAATTAATGCTCCAGTACAGTGCAAAGAAACAAATAGGAGGCAATTTCTCAAGGTTCTATGGATTCATACTCAGAACAGAAACACAAAGTGGTACCTTGAGTATGGTCGCCAGTGTTTTGTATGCTTTTTTCTGCATTGAACCTTCTTTATCCTGCAAATAGATAGATATTGATAACGGTTACTATGCCAAGTTGTATAGCAGAAAAATAGAAGAGTGGATGACAGAGATGAGCATCCATTAAGACATCAGACACCTGCAACGGAGATCTAATGGCAGTAAATAATAAGTCTATCTCTTCCTTATCTACACCAGGCAGGAGGCAAACTGCTAAATCCAAAAGGAGGGCCCTGCAAATGCCAGACAACTTCAGATATTGCAGACACTAAATCTCAGTTCAAGGACATATAACAAGGAAAATCATGAGATATGAATGTTAACCTTTTTAAAAATAACAGTAAATACAACATACCTTGCATGCAAAAGAGATGCCGCATTTGATGATTCATCAATTTGCGTGTCACTAGAACTTTCAAGCTGTTTTCCTTTGCTTGCTTTCTCAGTCGCACGCAGAAGTTTAATCATGAGTGTCACTAGAACTTTCAAGCTGTTTTCCTTTGCTTGCTTTCTCAGTCGCACGCAGAAGTTTAATCATGACTTTCTTGAAGAAATTCTTCACTATATCCTTTGCTTGCTTTCTCAGTCGCACGCAGAAGTTTAATCATGACTTTCTTGAAGAAATTCTTCACTATAATTTTGTCTGATATTGAAGCGAACTCGCGAATGGTGGACTGAAATCCATGATAAAAAGTGCTCACCATGTTGCCATAAGAAATTAGTTGAAGATATGCACAATGCTTAAAAAAAAACCCTCTATGCTTAAAGAATAGATAAGACTGAAATAACTGCATATAGGTATCATATGTCATATCAGGTAATTTCCTCGTATACAATGATGTCGCCCAATGTCAACCAAGGGTAATTCCCTCTCCTCCTTTATTCACTTGATTGAGATTGAGCCACATCATTACCATATGACGAAATCTCTGATGTATGTGTGTGCGTCTACACACACACAGTCAAATGAAACATGTGATGATTCTAGGATAGAAAATAGTTTTAGCTCCTAAGATTGACAGTTTCCTGAACAAAATGGATAGTTCACATACGGACCAAAACCAATAAAACATAAAATGTTGGTATAACAGGCCACTAACGCTATTCCAGAAATCAGGAAATGCAAATATAGAATACATGAGCATATTAACATATTAATATATTCAAAGAATAAGCCTGGGTTTAGATTCCCAACAATGTATCAAGGAAAGAAACTTAATTACCTGCAAACAACCACCATTGTCTTTCGAAGAGTTCAAGAAAGTATCAGATAGAACAGACAACATCTTGGACGATGATGAGCGTATAGCTTTCAGATTTTCTTCTGCAACTGCTTGTGTGTAATGTTCCTTTGCCTTCCTTTCTTGATCAGACAGCTTATCATCCAACGTGATAGAGCCTTCCTCGAGTACGCTCTTGTTCTGTCCAATCAGAATCTGGTTGCCAAGAGAACACAGAAATAAACAAAAACTGAATAAATCATAGATCAATATGTCAATCAGAATCTGGTTGCCAAGAGAACACAGAAATAAACAAAAACTGAATAAATCATAGATCAATATGTCACTCTACCAATAGCACCAGATACTAAACCATACCTGAAGGCTGGAACACATAATACCATGCAACTCAGACTCCCGAGGAAGTGTGAGGCATATAACTTTCTGAAGATCTTTGAAACTAGTGGAAGTATCAACAGGATAGTTACAAAAGGCTGGCAACAAAGACCACAATTGATAAACAAGGCCTTCTGCACTCTTAGCTGAAAATGTGCGGCCCTCTGCCTCAAGCTGCCATATAATATTCATCAACTTCTATATAAGGTAAATTAGAGTTTACAGTAAATAACCAAACACAATTGAAACCATCAGTACCTTGTGCGATTTTTGCTGTAGGACTTTGATCATGTCCAAAATATTATGCGAAAAAAACTTTAGATGGGCACCAACAGTATATTGCTTCAATATAGGAAGCAGCCAGACATTAGCATCAGAGATGTTTTCAGCATCCACATTAAGTGGTAGAATGCTTAGAAATATCTCAGAGATGATTTGTGCCCCGCTTTGCGCCTCACACATTGACAACACTAGTGATCATAATATTAGCCGATGTATTAAACTGAAGCTTCAATTTCCACCCAAAAACATATCAACAGAACAAATCTATATATGAGGCATCAATGGTTATTTCAGATTCTTTAGTACCTATGTCGTAAGATGCTTAAAAACTGAATACTAGCATATTTCTTTTAAAAGGTTCATCATATATTAAGTATACACATTAATAACATATATGAAAAGATAACAGGAGACAACAGTATTGATCAGGAGATACAAACCGACACTGAATTTTCTTTTGAACAAATAGGGATGACGATATGTGTGGGAGAGAAGGCATATCCTCTTTAAGCAAAAGACAGGAATTCTACTGAAATCCACCACCATCATGCAGGAAACTTTAAGAATTTGTATGTTTTTCTCTTAATTTAATTTAAGATGTGAACAATTTAATATAAAAACATGCTTAGAAAGATTACAAAGAACTTTCACTGAGAGACAATTAATCTATCAAAACCAGACAGAAGGACACATCTGTCTCTAGTTAATGCAGGCGCTACCTGGAAATACTTGTTTTAGTATGAATTGATTCTGAATCCTCATCAGATTTTGCTTTTCTTTCTTTCCGCTCTTTGATCTATCAATCGAACAACGATAAAATTAGAAAATAATTAGAACAACCTCAGTAACATAAATGCCACAAGTCAGTTACAAGTGTTTCTACCTTTCTTATGTTTGTAAGGAGTTTCATATGCTCCTCAGGCATCACTGTTCTAACAGCATCTACACCGCATTTTCTCACAAGCATTTCAAGAAGTACTTTGACCTGCCAAAATGAATGAGAAGAATGGATAACTCTATCATTGAAATAGCACATATATTATAGGTAATTTTCTGCAGACAATGAAATTATAAACATGTAACAAAATCTATACAGCACATAAGAAATAGAATAGCACCGTTTTAATGTCCAAGAGAAGGCACAACAAGTTACATCTATAAAACAGTTACATCTATAAAACAACAGTAGTAATAACAATGCATAAGTCTACCACCTTACCAGCATTTTTATTAACACATTTTTACATACTACAAAGTCCAAAGAATACATGCTTTCAGTAAGTTATGTAAACAAAATTCCAACAATCAAAACATATGCTTTTCTTAAGAACCATCACCTGAAATTGTTGGGCCACAATTCAGGAGTCCTTTGTTGTGAGTATACAACAAAGGATAAGTGCATCATGATGCAGATATCTGACTGCAGGTTTAGCGGAATGAAATCAGTTCATTCCAAATATTACCAACATATACGGAAACAGAGGCCAAAACAAGTTCAGAAAATACAGTACCTTAGCTTTAAAATGATTTTTAGTATTATCTTGCCATTTCAACAACCCTTCGACCATTGTCCTTAAGTGCATTTGTAGTCCCTCCGACTTGGATTTTGCTACTAGTACCTTGATCAATCCCAAATTTGCCTGTGCGAGTACAGTAAAAAAGCAAATACAGCCAAATATACAAAAGCTTCAGCTGACTATCAAAATTTTCATATGACTTAAATTTGTTGTGCTCAAAATAGTAGAAAGATACTTTGATTATTTCTCGATTTTTTCTTTGGAGGAGAAGAAATGAAGATGGAAGCAAGCTATAAGCTGCACCGACGAGATCTGAGAACTCATAAACCAACCGAGCTAACCCTTTGACAGCCGCACTGATCATGTGTGGCTTTTCACCAGCCAAACCTCCAGCAACCTAGGTTTGAATAGAAATATCAAAAGGCAAATAACTACATTTTAATCACATCACCCAAATGGTGTCCACAACCTGAAGCATCAAGCAAACAACAAAACAAATAAACATGCGCGCGCGCACAACCCACAAACCCACGCATTTGTGCGCGCGCACATACATCGTCGAAAACACCATTTCTAGGGCCTAGGGGCATAATACCATTTTTTTCTAGGGTCTAGAGGTACCAAAATTAAAAATATGCACTCTGAATAATTGATGTTACCATTTTAAAAAACTCAAATAGGTTTTCCTTTTTCCCGCCCTGGTCTTCATCTCCACATGCATGGCCAATCTCAACAAGCAAATCATAAGCCCTGTTTCTTGTTTTTATATTAACCATTTCTAGGGCCTTGGCTTTCAAAACTGTATCAAGGCGAGATGTATTTAAATTTTACATCAATGCAATTAACAAGAGAAAATTACTACTAAGATGTCAAAGCACAGATATCACGTCCAGAGAAAATAAATTCAGTGAAGTTTTCAACAGTTTCCTTATCAATACTTCAATGTGAAATTTGCATACGTTCACATCTGCAAGGAGTTTCAAGGGTTAAAGCAATGCTTTGTGTGAGTATAAAAGTTTGGCACTGGTACTAACAGTGCATGAAAGGTGACAGGTGTAAGGTAAAAATGCCAAAACTCCACAAGAAAGAAACTTTTAAGGCAATGAACAAAATGATTAACATAATGTATAAATACCCGCTTTCTGAATGGAAGAACTTCATCTGGTAAACTCTCCAAATTTGCTAGGCTCCTAACTGTCCCAGCCATAAGACTTGATGAAAAATTCCCTACATACAGGTGGTATACAGCCAGTTATATACACACTCATACAAGAAAATAACTATTATAGTTATCCCTATCTGGTAGAAGGGCATATTTAATAAATATATATGTAGAATTAGACAGATTAACCAAATAACATCCTTAGCCATTTAGAAAACCATGCCTTGAACAGAAACTGTGAAAAGAATAGAGAATAAGGCTGGAAACCAATTCTTACTTTCTTCTGCTCTCAAAAAACCAGCTGAACAATTTCAACTACCAAGTATATTTCAGACAATGATGTGTGACATGTAAATGAAAGGCTGAGCAAAAAATGTACCTAGTTGATAAAATGCTGCTGAAAGGACTTGAAATGACATATCCCAGACTGCATTATATTTATAACCAAGGAGGCCTTCCATAGTGGAGCATATTCTTTCAATAATTGTTGGACCGGACTTTCTTATTCCTCCTCCAGGGAGGCCTTCCATAGTGGAGCATATTCTTTCAATAATTGTTGGACCGGACTTTCTTATTCCTCCTCCAGCATTGAGTGTGATTTGGTCGAACCCCTGCTTCACCAAGCCTTCATCCACACAAGAAGATATCAAACCTTTAAATGCCTCGGCAGCAGCAAATATAGCTTCCTCATGCTCGCTGGTTAAGACATCTGTTGAGGATTAAAGAACAATATGAAAATTTACATCACCAATACATGACATCAGGAGACTAATCAATACAGTAAAACAGGATCAAAGCAGACCTCCAAGACTATTAAATATGAGAGGGAGCTTCACAATGCATATTTCCCTGTTTAGACTGTGCACTTTTTTCATGCCGATATGCAACAACCGTGCAGTAGATGCCATCTCATCTGCTACTAAGCTCTTTTCAGCAACATATATTGCTAGTGTGCATAAAAGATATAATAACACCTCTGCTGCAACTTCTGCAGTTGGACTGGAGCAAAAAGACTGCAAAATCTCCATTACGGTCCTTGTGAGGATTGGTTGACGTAGATTTACTAGTGACTTGCAATATTTCATGATATTTGTTGCATATTTGATTGACATAAGAGGAAGACAATCCTTTATTGCATTTAGAATATACAGGACTGTCAGGACCTCCATAGCTCCTCTTGGTCCTCCAGCTGCATCCAAAGCACTAGAGTCCGATCCACCAGCAAGCAAAAGGAATCTCTCAAAAAGGTTCGTAACCCCTTCACTCGCAAACACTATAGCCGAAGATCCTCGAAAGCTTTGTAGGAGATCATACAGACATGCATGAGATTGTTTCCTCACCTGTTTTCGACGCGTTTAACACTTATCAGCATATCATGGATAACGAGAACATTTCTTACTTATTAAAAAAAAAAGACTACAATAGCGGTACCAATATATCAATTTGCAACTTTAATGATCACTACAACGGAAGATTACAAGGGCCTAACTGGTTCACTTTGGCAAAAGAAATTTTTCTGAAATGTGTCATCAACAAGAGAAGGAAGAAAGTAAATGAAGGTAACACCGTCCTTATGTGAACAATATGGGAGGAAGAACAACGATGACAAAGAACAGCAGAAAACGGTAATCAGTTGGGATGATAGGAGAAAATCACTTGAATTTTTTTTTTCAAGATTGTCCATGTTTAGTACATCACATGCAATTGTATGGAGTCCAATTTGAAAAATCTAAATTTTGACTTGATAAAATCTCCTTTTTTTTAAATAATATTAACAGTATCCTAGTTCAAATCCACCTCCAACCACAATGTGCAAAGAGAACAACAATCACCAAACAAAAAGACTCTTAAAGATTCAAACTTCACGCGTTACCTTGGGCCTCGGATCTGTAACAAACCCAAGAACAACCCCATAAACCGCCGAAACCTGAGCCCAATTCCCCTTCTCACCAACCTTCACCAAGCTCCCCACGCACTTCAACCCCGCCTTCACTCCGCTCACCGGCTTTAAAGAGCAACTTAACCAAAAATGAGGCATGGAGTACCAAAAATGAGGCACTTCAGAGCAACTTAACCAAAAATGAGGCATGGAGTATCAATACATACCTACTGAAAAAAATGAGGTATAGGATTCAAAAACAAGAGAAGAAGATTTACATTGGGATTGAGTTGAACACGTTAAAGAGGCAGTCAAGCAATTGAGATAAATACATATACAACCAAAAACCATAAATTGGTATATTAATGCTCAAATGACAAAATAGGACTTTATTTTCCTCAAAATGAACGATCAACACTTATACGGAAAATCAGTAAATAACAATATTCTTAAAACTCTGAAAATTTGTTTAGAAGAAGGAATCATGATATCCTTATAAGTTATAACCATCTCATTTTTCAAAATCATGATACCCTTATAACCATCTTATTCTTCTTCCCTGCAGACAACAACAACACTTTCCCATCAACAATATCATCCACATCAATCATCTTGCCATCATTATCAATCCTTCTATTGTTCAAATAAAGCCCCCCTTGTTTCAGTAATCGTCTCGCTGCAGACTTGCTATTAAGCAAACCAGTAGAAACCGAAAGATCAACCAAACAAGAATTTAACACCTGATCATAAGCCAAAGAACATGATGGAACATCCTCAGTTATCCCTTCAATTGTTTCCCAATCTAACTTAGTGTCTGCTCCTGGTCTTAGAGCTTCAGTTGCCTTCAATGCCTCAACTAAACCCTCTTCTCCATGAACAAAACGGGTCACTTCTTCTGCTAGCTTTCTCTGCACTGTATTTGGAACATAACCAGGCTTCTTCATTCCCTCTTCCAACTCTGTAATCTCCTCCATACGCAAAAAAGTTAAAATCTTCAAGAACCTAATAACATCTACATCGGGCACCGAGAAGAAATACTGATAGAACTTATAAGGCGACAGCGTCGCGGGTGATAACCAAATAGCTCCTCCTTCAGATTTCCCAAACTTTGTGCCATCACTCTTCAACAAAAGGGGGAAGGTCAATCCATAAGCTCCTTCAACCTGCAATATTTTTCGAATCAATTCAGTCCCAGCGGTTATATTCCCCCATTGATCACTTCCCCCAATCTGAACATTTACTCCATGATTCTTGAACAAGTAGAGGAAATCATAGCCTTGTAGCAATTGGTAAGTGAATTCAGTGTAGCTCATTCCCTCTTCCGAGCTCAATCTCTTCTTCACGCTCTCTTTCGCCATCATAGTCCCAACCCTAGCGAACCTCCCAACCTCTTTGAGGAAATCCAACAACGTGATCCCCTTCCACCAATCGTAATTGTCCAAAATCACAACCGAATCGCTCTCATTCTCAGAACCCACGTCCAAAATCGCATCTTTAGCAAAAACCCCAGCTGAATTTCCTAATATTTTAGAGATTAGCTGCTTAATTGCTCTACTGTTATTTTCTAGGGTTTCTATATCTAATTCCGGTCGCTCGAGGCTTTTTCCAGAGGGATCACCGACGCGACCGGTGGCGCCACCGATGACGGCGACGGGGGTGTGGGTGACGTCGGGGAACCAGGAGAGGACGATGAGGCCGAGGAGGTTACCTAGGTGGAGGCTCTCGGCCGTCGGGTCGAAGCCACAGTAGACTTTGAGATTCGTGCCGGAGGACGACGCTGACCTGAGGTTTTCGTTTGTGATGGATTCGATGAGTCCCCGCTGTTCGCGGCGGTGGAGGAGGAGGACGAGGACGAGGACGAGGAGGCGCGGCATGGGAGGCGACGTGGCAATTGGAAGGTTCTAGAAGGTCGTAGGAGCTTCGGGAGTGAGGGGAGGAAGGTTCTAGAAGCTGCCGACGCCGCCATCGTCGAACGAGAGTGAGTTTGTGAGGACGGAGATGAGGGAAGGGATGGAGACCGTATGAATTTTGAGAAAGTATAATCTGGTTTAAGTTTGGGTTTTTTTTAAGTTTGGGTTTTTTTTATTTTTTGCATATAAACCCTTTATCTTCTTGAGGGTGCCAGTGGCATAAGTGAAATAGAAACCTTTGACTGTGCTGCCAATCCAACAGTAGGTTTTCTCTGGACTTCAAGCTTTGTCGTTCTTGTTCTAATTTTCAACTATCGTAAAAATAAATAAAAAAAAGATCTCAGAGGAGCTTTAAAGCTTCCTTCCATCATCTGACACGTCCATTTTATACAGAGAATTGCAGGGGAGATAAAATCTTTCTCAACAGGTGGATGGGTAGCTCCTAAACTATCCAAGCGGATGGATAGGTTCATGCTTTATTTGCTTGCTGCTGGCAAGAAAGCATTGAAAAATGGTGGGATGTCTGAAGATATTATGAGTCAGATGGACAAGACGAAATGTGGAGTTCTTATTGGTTCTGCAATGGGCGGGATGCATGCAGGTTGCATTTTCATCCTCGATCTTCCTTATAATTTAACACTTCGACAGTTGATTCATTATACACTTTTACCAGGTGTTCAATGATGCGATTGAAGCTTCGAGGGTCTCATATAGGAAAATGAATCCATTTTGTGTTCCATTTGCAACCACAAACATGGGTTCTGCAATGCTGGCAATGGATCTGGTTGGCAAGCATAACTTATTTCTGAATTTGGTCCCGATGCTTTAAAAGAATGGTGGTGATGTTATTTATTGTTTTCTTCTCTATGGATCTCAGGGTTGGATGGGACCAAATTATTCAATTTCAACTGCTTGTGCTACGAGCAACTTCTGTATTCTGAATGCTGCAAACCATATAATTAGAGGGGAAGCAGTGAGTGATGACGTTATATCCCTTCAACCTCTGTCACGAGTCAAAATAGTTATATGCATAACATAGAGTTTCCTTCTATCTTTGAATTGGCTTTCATTTGCTTTTTCTCCCTTCCATTATGTTGAACAATATGCTTTACTTTCTTTTTGTTATATATCTAAATCTAATACTTGCAGGATGTGATGCTTTGTGGTGGTTCGGATGCAGTAATTATTCCCATTGGTAGTTCGTTTCTCTTTTTAATGATGGAATTTGCTTTATGGTAAATAGTTCTTTTACCATAGCAACACTCTTCCACATTGCAGGACTGGGCTGGGAGGATTTGTTGCATGCAGAGCGCTCTCACAAAGAAACAGCGATCCAAGCAAAGCTTCTAGGCCCTGGGACATTGTAAATACTTATTATTTGTCTTTCCTTCATAAATCATAATTTAACATGCAGTCCAAATTTTATGCTCCCTAAACTATAAAATTTTCTTCATATGTTTTGAAATTTCAGTATTGTTATGTAGTTGAAAAAGGATAGGAAGTTGGACTACAGTAGGGAAAACAAAGACAAAGATGAGCCGTTAGTTTTGAAATGTTTACCATTAATTATTTAATGAATTTAACTCTCTCGAAAAGAGTTAACTACTATATGTGTCTTAATTTTCTTTACGATTTGACGTGTTTCATAAAATATATATTTACCAATTATAATAAAACTTCGTTCATATTAGAGGTTGACATAATCTTCTAAGATGCTCATTAGTTCTAAGATGCTCAGTATGGTGTTGGAGATCTGTTTGTTATTTGATTTTGTGTTCCAGGATGCGATCAAGTGTCTTCAGGTATCTTTCTGGTTTTATCATGATCTTACTTAGCCCCTTTTGGATTTATATTTGTCAATCTCTACTTGCTTTCTATTTTATTCGGTCAGTATCAGCTGAACCTCAGAATAGGAACGGGAAGAATAATATGTTTATAATTGTGAGAACTATAGGTTCGTTTTTTTCTTTCTAATTTACGTTTTCTACTTAGAGCTACAGCCTGTTTCCTGTATTTATTGACTTAGTTTAAACTATTAGATGTTCTGGCAGTATCATGATGGGTTCATCTATGAAATTTAGTTTCTTTAAAGATATTATGACCTTAGAACTGTTCACATCTATTAGTAACATAAAGCTCATATTCCTGAGCATTTTCAGTGCTTTTACTGAAGGATACAGTAACTACTTCTTCGTGCAATTAAGAGCTGAGATTTTGTAATAGATGTAACCTGTAACAATACACTTTAATTTAATGGCCGTAGTACTCTTTTATCTTATTTTCAACTCCTACATGCCAGGAGCGTGATGGATTTGTTATGGGAGAAGGGGCAGGTGTGCTGCTGTTAGAAGAGCTAGAGCATGCTAAGGTTCAATTAAATTAAGCTTTCCATTAACATATATATAGGAGTTTCGCTCCAATTTTTATCTCTCTTGAAATTAATTCTTTTTCTTTCTTTCCTTTTACAGCAAAGAGGAGCCAATATCTTGGCCGAGTTTCTTGGAGGAAGCTTCACTTGTGATGCTTACCACATGACTGAGCCACATCCTGAGGGTAGAAAATAAATCCACAGTTCAATTCAGTTCTTGTGTGCTCGCTATATTTTCCGTTTTTAATTGGATCACATTGTTATCTGGTTTTCCTTCGGATACCAGGAACAGGAATTGCTTTGTGCATCGAGAAAGCATTGTCACAATCAGGAGTGGCCAGAGAGGATGTCAATTACATAAATGCTCATGCAACCTCCACACCAGCTGGTGACCTCAAAGAGTATCAGGCTCTCATTCGTTGTTTTGGTCAGAATCCTGAGGTAAAGTAAATAACATATATGAGTTAAAATATATATATGTAGTGCTGTTCTTTGCTAACTAATTTGTTGTGCATTGCAGTTGAGAGTGAACTCTACGAAGTCCATGATTGGTCACCTACTAGGAGCTGCTGGTGCAGTGGAAGCTGTTGCTGCTGTCCAGGTAAGAAAACACTTTCTTTTCTTGGCAGATTTTGGAGAAAACATGTACATGACACATCAAATTAACTTTATTGCCCGTAGATCATGTAATCTATCAATTTCAATAGCTTGTAGAAGTAGTTATGTTATTTCTTTTCCCTTGTGTATACTGTTTTATGAGATTTTAGAGATATTAGAAACTTTTAACAGTTAATGGAAGGTCCATTAAGATTTTGGATGCCAGGTGATGGGAATTAGCACTAACTGAAATAAAAGTACTCTTTGATCAAAATTTAAGTGTTTGATATTTGCGCATTCATTGCATTCAAGATTTTTTTTTATTGGTCTCTTCCCCAGATGCGCTTTGGTACACTGGTATTGTTTTAAAAAATGGTTTGGGCACCCATCTGGGCATAAACAGTACCTAGGCCTCCTACTTAATTCTTGAGAGTGCTAAAAAATGGTTTGGGCACCCATCTGGGCATAAACAGTACCTAGGCCTCCTACTTAATTCTTGAGAGTGCCTAGGCGAATATGGGCTCCTTACATGGACTCATGGCATCAAAGAGGGGTTTATTGTCCTCTTAAGCATAATAACAAATGAATAAAAAAAAGTCAAGTTAAAATGCAGTAGATCAGAACTCGATCCAAGATCCTCTCAAATAAAACGGTGACGATAGGATTTTAAAACTTTGAAAAATTTATTCCTAAATGTGTGCTAAAAAACGCCTACATGCCGCTTAGGTTCTGGGTGCAGGGTGTTATGTTTGGCGCCCAGAAGTGCATAGCGGTTTCTAAAAGCTTGTACGTTGGTAGGAGATATCTTCTCTATAGAGTAATTTTGAGCAATCAATGTTGCATGTATTGTTGGACGTCATGTACTTTGAAATATAGTTGATAATTGTAGGAATTTGTCGTCTATATTTCTATTTCCCTAACTCGTCTAGAAACCCTTTGCAAACTCTATAGCTTCTATTTTGGAATTTTTCTCACGTTATTCAGAATGCGGTGCATTAAAGTCGAATGTGGGACATGTTAGATAGAAATTTCATTTCGGATGGCGGATGTCGAAGATATTTAGTAAATATTATGGTATTAAATAAGATAATATGTAAGATATCATATATGTCCATACTTGATGCATTAGAGAATGGAGCTGTGGAGACAGATATCTTTACATGATTGAAACATGAAACTAGTAGAAAGGTTATCAATATTTCCATATTATACTGTTGAAATATAAGGAGAGATTTAAATGGCGAGAGACTTAATGAGAAGTCGATAATGAATGCATGGTTGAGATTGTGCCACAACACAATCCACCTTGAGGCGAGTAGGAAAAAACCGAAAGAACTGCAAAACTCTTGTAAAGAATTTAGATCTTAGTCGAGCCACAATTCCAAACTATTTGATACAATTAAAGCTCAAATTGATATTACAACGTTTTGGTCGATTTTTTTAGTCGAAATGTCACATGAAATATGAGGAAATTTCCCTTGATATACCCCCAAAATTTTGCCAAAAGCAGTAAGATTATTGAAAGCATATATTTTGCAGCAAGCCTTATAAAAAGACATATTGCCTAATATATCGGTCATGTCAATCGATATTTTAAACAACTGTTAGATGACATAGTCATATTGCATGATGAGAATGGGGTTTCCCTCTTAACATTTTATTTATAATCACTTGATAATCAATATTCTATAATTCAATTCCAATCGAGAGGACATTAATGAGTGCACCGTGATTTTAATTGAAACTATGTGCTTCTCATATCAAAAAAGTATCTATATTAAGGCCTTGTAGATTTAAAATTTCATCTTAAATATGAAAATTAATCTTTGTTTTGTTATCCAATTTTAAAATTCCTCTAGTTTTAAATTTGTGAATGTGTAGAGGTTCAGAATTTTACGTCCCATTTGCATCACATATTTGTGGCTAAAAGAGATTGTAAGTGAAACTCACCCTCTTTATCAAACAAAAACATATTAAAAGTTAACTATTATGTATAGAGCAAAAGCTTGAGACCATCCCAATCACACTCGGCCTGCGAGCTCATTAGCGCAATATAAGCCATGAAACCCATTGAGTGCAACACATGGTTTGCCTCAATCCACTAGCAAACTTGGCTCATCAATGTTGCAATTGACTCCTTGGATTTACATTACAAACCATTCAAACAATCAGTCGATGTCCGATGTGAGACTAAATCTTAGGGTATCACAATCACCCTATCTTAATTAAGCGATGTGCTTCTCGTCACATGATAATCGGTCCATCTATCACCATCAGATGATGTGGACTCTAGAGATAACTCCTACATGCTTCTAGAAATGGCTCACACCCCACTCACGTGGTGTAGCACTTAGTCTCGTGTAGCGCTTAGCTCCACATTTCTAGCTAGCTAACTGCTCTAATACCATTTGTCACACCCCGGACCTGCGAGCCCGTTGGCGCGATGCAAGTCGTGAGACCCACTGAGTGCAATATATGGTTTGGTTCAATCCGCTGCGACTAGTCAATGTTGCACTTGACTCCTTGGACTTACATTATGTACCATTCAATCAATTAATATCCAATGTGAGACTAAATGTTGGTGTATTACAATCCCATTACTCAAATCTCATCCTTCTCTTGTTAAGAGATATCTCTTTTATTGCTATGTAAGATTATAAATTTTTTGCCTATATACCTCAAATTTACCTGTATGTTTCCCCATATTGGATTTCTATATCCCTCATTTAATATCGTTGAAAGAGAGTTTGGGCGCAATGGCAGAGCTGTCGTATAACCTGGAGGTCATGGGTTCGAGTCCTAGAAACAGACTCTTGTAGAAATGTAAGGTAAGACTGTGTACAATAGCTCTAAAGTGGCTGGGTCCCTTCCTGGACTCCTGACATAGCCGTAGCTTTGTGCATTGGACTGCCCTTTCTCATTTAATATTGTTAAAATTCATATGGGTTCGTTAGCAATGGTGTTAAGTATTCAATGTAAGTATTTTAACTCAATATTAGAATATACGGTAAATTAGTAAATATTCAGATTTCGAGGTTAAAATTGAAAATAGGATAGATTTTGGAGGGTGCACTGATAAAAACTAAACTTTTAGCATATGAATATGACTTCACGAAATGTGACCAAGTTTTAGTAGATTTGAACAAATATTAATTTTTTTTAAAATATTTTAAATAAAATTATTGAAAGCCGGTCCCAAATTGAAGTAGAATGGTTTTAGTGGATTTTTTGGAGCGATCGGACAGTTAATAAGTCCAATAAGTCAGGTCAGCGTCATTAAATGAGTAGTATGGCTTCTGGGAGCCATAACTTTAGAACTAAATAAAATCAATAACAAAAGTATCATACCAAGATCTTTAGAAGCTCGTGACTCTTGTTTTAGAAGGAATTTGGTAAACTGTGGTCCAATGAACTTTAATTATTGGCCGTGCTATAGAGCTCAGAATAAGCTTTCCAAATTGGGGTTTATTGTCCAGTAACTCCTCCTAGATCAAAAGTTATGCTCCCCCTAGATCAAAAGCTATGCTCCCGGATCAAAGTTGTTGACTTATATATAAGCAGATTTTTTTAATTTTACATATTTCATTGGTTGGCCAATAAAAGGAAAACAAGTTATCAGTAACGCCTCGTTTGGTACGCGGGAATGGAGTCAAGTGAGAATGGAAAGAATGTAAGAATGGAATGAAATAGATGTGGGAATGGAATGCACATTCTCATTCTCATGTTTGGGCGCGTTTAGAGAGTGGAACAGGAATGACAATCTTATTCTCATTCCCTCGTTTGTTATCATTTGTTCACAAGTGAGAATAAAATTTAGTTTTCTAATAATGCCCTTACCAAAACACAGAATTTTAAAAATGTTAAAAATATTTTAAAAATAACTAAATAATTCATTTTTTTAGAAAAATAAGTTTTATAGAAATGATTTTTTTCCTTAGAGAAATAAATTTTTATGTAATAGTTATATTTTGTCACAACATCTTGGCAACAATTTTGGACTTTTGGCTTACAAATTGAAAAATATTTTTTATAGAAATTATTTTAATTATAAATAATTATAATTTTACTTTTCTAACTTGTACTAGTAGCTTAAGATAAGTTAATTTTTTATAAAAATAATTTTCATATAGGAATTTATATCTAATTGTATCTTTTAAGAAGGGTATAATTGGAAATCATTTGATTATTTTTATTCCCACTTAAGTGGGAATATCAATTCCTTGTTAAATGGTTGGGAATGACAATTCCCACATAAAGTGGGAATTGATAAGAAGTGGGAATTTTAATTCTAACATCTAAAAGTACATCGTGTTTGGTACGCGGGAAAAAAGAGTTGGAAATGAATTCCATTCCCACTAATTGACCATATAAAAGGAGGGCCGTTGGGGAACAACATGCGTCTAGTGGGTAAGGCACCACATAAATGGAAAAAACGTCGATAACAATTTTTCATAGTAGTAACATAACATAGCCAGAGTTCTAGGCATGCAATATTCGGAGTTATAATAATGCACGTAGATCTCCGGATCACCGGATGTAGTGGTGTATAAGTACAAGATATTTTCAAATGTGTATTTTGGTTGTAGTAAATGCCGAGTTACACTGGCATGAACAAAAACACTGATTGGGTGACTATTTAAAGTAAGTTAAAATTCTCAAATGATCTAAGACACTGGACCATCAATATGTAACAGTATTAGTGCAATACGTATATTTTCAATTTATAACTAGTTTCTGCTATGTATTATGCTTTTGATTTGTGCAGTGATTTAGTATTAGTGCAATACGCATATTTCCTGTTGGGCATGAGTATTTCTCGTAATGATATATTTTAATAATGATATATTTCTCCTCTGGTTACTTTTCCCCCGTCATTTGATGATATGCAGGCAATTCGAATGGGGTGGATCCATCCAAACATTAATCTGGAAAACCCAGAGAAGGATGTGGTAATGTTATTTATTCTTTCCTTGTCTTCTCACAAACTTTATTAACCGCTTAATTGCTTAAATGACAACTGATAAAAAATAGACGGAAAAAAAAAACAAAGAGACAGAAATGTCAAGGCACTGCAACCTTCGAAGACAATTATTCCCAAAATGTTTCTTTGTTACTTCTTTTTCTTCTAGTCACAAATAATCAAGTATTAACAGTTTGTTCTAGCTTTCCGTGAGCTACCCTGTAGTCAAAACCGCTACATATATGATCTCGTCAATTCGTGTTCACAACCTTATAAGCATGTAAAGTGGCATTTTATCACATTATATTCTCATAGAGGCTTTTGTTATTCTGTGAATTTAGGATATGAAAGTTTTGGTGGGCTCAAAGAAGGAAAGATTGGATGTGAAGGTGGCACTGTCAAACTCCTTTGGCTTTGGTGGCCACAACTCATCCATTCTCTTTGCTCCTTACAAGTAGACGTTGCAATATAACTGCTGGCCTTCAAATATGGGACTGTGCCATTGTCTGTTTCATGATCTCTTCAATATGATGGCATGTAGTCATTTGCGTTGACGTACTTTCTCAATGTTCAGAGGATGGAAGTGTTGAGAAGAAACAAATTTTGCGCTCTATCCTTTTGTTCTGTATAGAAACTTGTTCATATTTCCTGTTCTATTTCGTCCCTTTTAACTGTGTCTGTAATCTCTAAAACTGAAACTGTTGTAGTAGTTTTTGGAACAATGTAGAGCAAAACGTTTTATAGTTTTGGTTATGGTGGCAATATGTTTCATGTTGGCAGGAGAGATTATAGATATTTTGTTTAGTCTTATTGGTGTGAAACATGCTCCAATAAGTTTTTGTACTTCGTGTTATGGTAAGTATTGTATGACTTGTAATCTTTTTTTTTTCTTTCTTTCTTTTTTTAGCATTGTGTTGACATGTTGCTGCTGCTAATCCATATTTGACCATCAACGGAGGCAGGCTCGAGGCTTTTGAAATGACTCATTGGCTTGAAGCTCACATTTATGTTTTATTGACATAATTTATGCGTAAAAATGTCTAGTGTGAAGGAAGAACAATTTTTCAAAATCGACCCATTTAGTTTTTTATTTTTCAAAATCGACCGTTTTTTCTTTTATTTATCAAAACCGACCGGATTTCGTGATTAGCAGGTTAATCACTATCCTAAATAGTCGGGGTTGGCAACCCCGACTATTTAGGATAGTGATTAACCTGCTAATCACAAAATCCGGTCGGTTTTGATAAATAAAAGAAAAAACGGTCGATTTTGAAAAATAAAAACTAATCACAAAATCCGGTCGGTTTTAAAAAAAAAAAAAAAAAACGGTCGATTTTGAAAAATAAAAATCCGAATGAGTCTGTTTTGAAAAATTATTCGTGAAGGAACCATGGAACACGAGGAAAAGCTTACGCTCTTCTTTTACTATTCCCGAGTTTGCACCTCCTCAGAGGCTGACAAGAAAATTGAATTTGGTTTCTGTTACTTCCTTTTATGTTTGACTTGAGTTAAATCTTTACAGCAAATTATGAGACACAATTCCCCGTATACATTATTATCAGTCAGCAAGTATAACTATATAACTATATATATATATATATAAACAACATACCCCTCTTTATGTATTGAGGTTCTAAGTGCCTCCCAAAATCGATATCCTACATGATGCATAACATATCAGACATGAAGATGAACGTATAACTACTATGTTGGCAAACAAAATGCGAATCATAATAGAAATAATCTATATTTCAAATCTCTTCTCATACAAAGCTCTCTAGTCACTCTTAGCACCCAGTAAGATGATGCATGGCAAAAGTATGATAAATATGTGAAGCCTCTTGAAGACCACAGCTACAAACATATTGTAGGAAAATCTCTCTGAGAAACATGCAAAGCCCAAAAAACTCAAAAGTGTCCGAAAACTCAAGTTACGCGCTATACAATGTCAACTCACCAAATTTGCTGCATCACAGAAAGAACTGATGTACGACAAATTAATGCCCATCTCAACTACTTGTTTCCTCTCTTTTTCTTCTTTAGGTTCACTCCTTTAGCAGAGAGAGCAGCAGAGGCACTCTTCCCTTCAAACTTCTTCGTAAACTTCATCACACTCGCCATTCCTTTACGAGCAGAAGCCTTTCGCTCTGCTCTTCGGTTCAACAACTTCCTATCCAAAGGCCAATACGCATAAGGATCAAGCTTATCCTTCTTCTTAACATCACCACTCGACTTTTAATTAGTATACTCATTGCCAGTACAAACCGACACTGATTTTTCTTTTGAACGAAAAGGGGTGACGATATGTGCGGGAGAGAAGGCATATCCTCTTTTCAGCAAAAGACAGGAATTCTACTGAAATCCACTACCATCATGCAGGAAACTTTAAGAATTTGTATGTTTTTCTCTTAATTTAATTTAAAATGTGAACAATATAATATAAAAACATGCTTAGAAAGATTACAAAGAATGTAATTGCACTTTCACTGAGAGACAATTAATCTATCAAAACCAGACACAAGGACACATCTGTCTCTAGTTAATGCAGGCGCTACCTGGAAATACTTGTTTTAGTATGAATTGATTCTGAATCCTCATCAGATTTTGCTTTTCTTTCTTTCCGCTCTTTGATCTATCAATCGAACAACAATAAAATTAGAAAATAATTAGAACCAGCTTAGAAACATAAATGCCACAAGTCAGTTACAAGTGTTTCTACCTTTCTTATGTTTGTAAGGAGTTTCATATGCTCCTCAGGCATCACTACTCTAACAACATCTACACCGCATTTTCTCATAAGCATTTCAAGAAGTAATTTGACCTGCCAAAATGAATGAGAAGAGTGCATAACTCTATCATTGAAATAGCACATCTATTATAGGTAATTTTCTGCAGTCAATGAAATTATAAACATGTAACAGAATCTATGCAGCACATAAGAAATAGAGTAGCACAGTTTTAATGTACAAGAGAAGGCACAACAAGTTACATCTATAAAAGAGTTACAGTAGTTGTGTAAAATATGTACGTACGCATTTACATATGCATGTTTGAGCATGTGTCTGCATATGTGCATGAAAGAATGTACATGTGCTTGTGTATTGTGTGTTGATGACATCTATATATCTGTGCATATGTAATTTGTCTATGCCAATACCTCAAGGAAGCTCTTGAAGCAGCTTTGGTATGAACATATGTACATGTGCTTGTGTACTGTGTGTTGATGACATCTATATATCTCTATATACGTAATTTGTCTATGCCAATACCTCAAGGAAGCTCTTGAGGCAGCTTTGGTATGGCGCTCAACCACTGTCTTTGCTCCTGCATTTTCAGCATCACTATCATCATCCATGCCGTCATCTCCTAAATCTGAAAAAATGCGAGTGTGATTCCATCTGCTTTGCCTGAAACATGGATAATACTCCCGTGTTAGCAAAACTATCCCAGGAAGCCATGAAATCAAGCTATGAGAAGTAATAGCACTGATCAGAGAAAATAAAATAAAAAACTTTTCACATACAAGATTTTAAATAAAACGATCACCTTTAATGGTGTCAAATAAAGCAACTAATGACTGGCCTCATTAACCTTTCCAACCAAATTTGATTGTGCTACCAAATTTTCTAATTTGGTTATTTATTTACAATGTAGGAACAGACTCATAATTCATGTCAGGACTGAAGAACCACAAATATACAATAATATAAGTAGAAAACTGGGGAACCCATCAGTCATCAAGTTGAACAACCTCTACAAATATACCCAACTGCAGTGATCATCAATGTTTTCAAAAGCACGCGCCTCACTGCGCCTCATGTGCCTTGGAATGCGGAGCGGTGGCGAAGCGTCCTGCATCTGATGCAGCAGCGCCTTTTGCACCTCGCAATAATCCTGATTTTGCGCAAGGTGCATGTAGTACATACCCTCATATAGTTTTGTTTGTTAACATATCAATCGAGCCTTTATACTCGATAATCCATATCCCAAAAAGCAAAATAAAGCCATCAGGCCTTTTTAGTGGTCTTCAATTGAGAACCATAAGTAATCCTTTGCTTGGATATTAGTTCTTGATTTGATATTTGATTTGAGAATTTATGAATTTTGCTAGTATGTTGGGTGTTAGCATTAGAAATTGAGACCTTATATTAAGATATTGTAGTAAGATATTATTTATTCTGACATACTTTTTATGTGAATTCCTAAACATGTTCTTTCATGATTGATTATATATCTTGAAAATTTATGTGTGCGGTGTGCACCTCGCATCACTCAGGCGCTCGCCTTGCGTTGCGCCTTGCACATGTGTGCGTAAAGATGCTTTGCGCCCCGCATTGCGCCTCGCACATTGACAACACTAGTGATCATAATATTAACCGATGCATTAAACTGAAGCTTCAATTTCCACCCAAAAACATATCAGCAGAAAAAATCTATACATGAGGCATCAATGGTTATCTCAGATTCTTTAGTACATATGTTGTAAGATGCTAAAAAACTGAATACTAGCAGATTTCTTTTAAAAGGTTCATCATATATTAAGTATACACATTAATAACAAAATGGAAAAGATAACAGGAGACAACAGTATTGATCAGGAGATACAAACCGACACTGATTTTTCTTTTGAACAAAAAGGGATGACGATATGTGCGGGAGAGAAGGCATATCCTCTTTCAGCAAAAGACAGGAATTCTACTGAAATCCACTACCATCATGCAGGAAACTTTAAGAATTTGTATGTTTATATCTTAATTTAATTTAAAATGTGAACAATTCAATATAAAACATACTTAGAAAGATTACAAAGAATGTAATTGCACTTTCACTGAGAGACAATTAATCTATCAAAACCAAACACAAGGACACATCTGTCTCTAGTTAATGCAGGCGCTACCTGGAAATACTTGTTTTAGTATGAATTGATTCTGAATCCTCATCAGATTTTGCTTTTCTTTCTTTCCGCTCTTTGATCTATCAATCGAACAACGATAAAATTAGAAAATAATTAGAACCAACTCAGTAACATAAATGCCACAAGTCAGTTACAAGTTTTTCTACCTTTCTTATGTTTGTAAGGAGTTTCATATGCTCCTCAGGCATCACTGCTCTAACAGCATCTACACCGCATTTTCTCACAAGCATTTCAAGAAGTAATTTGACCTGCCAAAATAAATGAGAAGAGTGTATAACTCTATCATTGAAATAGCACATCTATTATAGGTAATTTTCTGCAGACAATGAAATTATGAACATGTAACAAAATCTATGCAGCACATAAGAAATAGAGTAGCGCCGTTTTAATGTCCAAGAGAAGGCACAACAAGTTACATCTATAAAACAACAGTAGTAATAACAATGCATAAGTCTACCACCTTACCAGCATTTTTATTAACACATTTTTACATACTACAAAGTCCAAAGAATACATGCTTTCAGTAAGTTATGTAAACAAAATTCCAACAATCAAAACATATGTTATTCTTAAGAACCATCACCTGAAATTGTTGGGCCACAATTCAGGAGTCCTTTGTTGTGAATACACAACAAAGGATAAGTGCATCATGATGCAGATATCTGACTGCAGGTTTAGCGGAATGAAATCAGTTCATTCCAAATATTACCAACATATATGGAAACAGAGGCCAAAACAAGTTCAGAAAATACAGTACCTTAGCTTTAAAGTGATTTTTAGTATTATCTTGCCATTTCAACAACCCTTGGACCATTGTCCTTAAATGCATTTGCAGTCCCTCCGACTTGGATTTTGCTACTAGTACCTTGATCAATCCCAAATTTGCCTGTGCAAGTACAGTAAAAAGCAAATACAGCCAAATATACAAAAGCTTCAGCTGACTATCAAAATTTTCATGACTTAAATTTGTTGCGCTCAAAATAGTAGAAAGATACTTTGATTATTTCTCGATTTTTCCTTTGGAGGAGAAGAAATGAAGATGGAAGCAAGCTATAAGCTGCACCAACGAGATCTGAGAACTCATAAACCAACCGAGCTAACCCTTTGACAGCTGCACTGATCATGTGTGGTTTTTCACCAGCCAAACCTCCAGCAACCTAGGTTTGAATAGAATGATCAAAAGGCAAATAACTACAATTTAATCACATCACCCAAATGTGTCCACAACCTGAAGCATCAAGCAAACAACAAAGCAAATAAGCATGTGCGCGCGCACAACCCGCAAACCCACGCATTTGTGCGCGCGCACACAACCCGTAAACCCACGCATTTGTGTGCACACACATACATCGTTGAAAACACCATTTCTAGGGCCTAAGGGCATAACACCATTTTTTTTCTAGGGTCTAGAGGTACCAAAATTAAAAATATGCACTCTGAATAATTGATATTACCATTTTAAAAAACTCAAATAGGTTTTCCTTTTTCCCACCCTGGTCTTCATCTCCACATGCATGGCCAATCTCAACAAGCAAATCATAAGCCCTGTTTCTTGTTTTTCTATTAACCTGCAAGCAAATTCAAATGCATTACTAAGGATGTAGAAAGCTGAAATATTTACATACATGAGAACAAATAATACAATTATAGCAGATAAAAAGAACATGTTGCAAGATGAGATAAAACAATTAAATAAAGGATTAATTACAATCTTGTACCTTGAAGTATGGTGTAATTACACCTGGAGTTTGCATATCTGTATGAGTAACCTGGAGTTACTGTTTGTAGTTACATCGATAACCCTAGGAGTTGCTTGTCATCTATGCTTCAGGGTCACTCTTGTAACTACAATTTGTAATCTCAGCGTTACTCATGTAGATATGCAGAATTCAAGGTTACCCATCTAATTACACAATACCTCAAGGTATTAAATTGTAATTAAACCTTAAATCAATCACCGAAGGCTATACCAAGCACGGGCATGAAACAGCTCAACAGATAAGCAATTAAGCATAAATAATAACAAAGATAGGTAAGAAACAAACTATCTGCCAGAGCACCAAACAATATTGAACACGCTGCAGCAAAGATAATTTGCATGAGAACAAGTACGAACTTAAGATCTCAAATAGCTCCCAACAAATCACAACCTAAAAATAAGGGGGTGGGGGTGCTTTCTGCAGCTGGATGTCTTCCCAAATTATTACAATTTAAGATATGCGTAAAGGAAGTCTTCATCTGATAAGTTAAAATCAAATAAAAAGACCAAAAAGTTAAGTGGGAAGTAAGAATTAGACGCTCATCCGTAGTGGCGGATCAAGGATTTCTTAGAAGTGGTGTCACTACAAAATAAATAATTAAAAAAAATCTATGATTGTCCCCCAACAAGTTTTCATATTTTGAAAAAAGTACATAATCATATCATTAATAACACCGTAAAAAACACCATGTTTCCCCCCCTGAAATAACACTATCAAGTACATCTTGCTCAATATACATCCCCAATCATGGGTTCTTATGATACCCAAATGGTGTTAACCACATTTTCAACATGGGTGGGTAAAATTACACAAGGAGATATTTTACGAGTGAGCTTTTATGGGCTTTTTAAAGAAAACATTGAACATTAAGGAGTCTCCATACATTTTAAAAGTTAATGGGAACTATCTAAGAAAAGCCAAAACTTTGGAGGGGTTTTCTGAAATTTACCCTTTTTAGTCGGGTGGGATGGAGTGGAAGTTGGAACTTGGAAATTGAAGTGAGGTCTTACGGGTTAATAAGTGGGGCTAGTTTGTTAGTGAGGTGAGTTCTTTTTCAGAGGGTGGGTTTTCAGTTAGGAAGTGGTCTGCCGTCCGCCCCTGCTCACCCACACCCAGTACAAGTAAGTGCAATACCAAGCCTTGTTTAGATTGTACTAGTAATAATGCACGTGCTTTGCATGTGAACATAAATGTTTTAAGTTTTAAATTTTTTATTGAATAGTAAATCTATGTGTTAATAAATAAAATTACATAATAAGATTGCTTAAAAAAATGTATGAATTAATTATTATTGTATAGTTATTGTAGTTGAATGTTTTTTTATAATGATCGCCCAATATTAAACTTTTTTTTTAAATAACCCTCCAAATCTAAACTTGTTCTTAAATAAAACTGTCAATTCTATAAGTTCTCTTAAATATGCGCCTCCACCTTGAAAGTTGTTAATTTAACTGTAAATTAACTAACCTGAATTAATCTTGCTAACTTTTCCTGATGTTTCCTAAATAGTTACACTTGATACCTGCAAAATATTATAATAGTTAATTCTAGTCATAATTATTTAATATAATAGGGTAAATTGCACTAAACCCTTATGAATTTTCAGTCTATATGAACTTTCAAAATTACACAAAACCCTAGTGATTTTTCAATTCAAAAAAGACCTCTTGTAACTTTTTGCATTTTATAAATAACGCCTACATATTAGAACCAGAAAATGGCATGAAACGACATTTTGAAAGTTAGTGGGTGTTTAGTGCAATTTATCTAGAAGATATTGGGGGCTTTCTACAAAAGTTAGCATTTTGAAAGTTAGTGGGTGTTTAGTGCAATTTATCTAGAAGATATTGGGGGCTTTCTACAAAAGTTATTACGGGTTTAGTGTGATTTCAAAAGTTGCAATTTATCTAGAAGATATTGGGGGCTTTCTACAAAAGTTATTACGGGTTTAGTGTGATTTCAAAAGTTTATAGGATCTATTTAATGCAAAATGCTAAAAGTTCATAGGGGTTTACTGCAATTCACCTTATTTAATATTATAATTCTTAGTTCAAGTAGTACTATTAAAATAACTATATTGCCTATATACTATAAAATATTTATCTAATTTAATTTTTTAATTATGCTCTTAAATAATTTATAAATTTTTATTATATTATCATTAACAATTAATAATACTATTATTAATATTAAATAATTTTTTTTAAAAATGTTAGCTTTCAATCATTACCAAGTATAGATTTTTTAGTATCATGTGATGATCTTTGAGAAAATACTCTTAAAATAATATTAAATTACTTATTTAATTTATTTAGTAATAATACTAAAGAAATAGTGTAATTCATAATTCACATGATATTATTAAAATAATTACACTATTTATGCGATCCAAAATTTATTCTATTATTTATTGCTCATCAAATTATAGTATAATTCCTAATATCATTTAATAATATATTATTCTATTCATACTATTATTTTAATTATTTTATTATAATTCATGAATTATTAATATAATAATTTAACTGATTACTACTAATAATTGTGTATACTTATTTTATAAAGTATTTTATTTTATTATTTTTAAGCAATTAATAATTATAATATTATTGATTAATATAATTATTTTGGAAGGTGAGGAGGTGCATAATCAACAAGCGGTTATGTGTATTTAATGAAAGATTAATTAGAGACAATGACATAGTAAGAATTTATCAAAATTTGAGAGGGCAAAAAAATAAATTAAAAGTTTTGACACCCTAATCCTTTTTTATAGGAGTATAGATATAGATAGATAAGTGAAATATCCATATTGTATAATTTTATGGTAAATTTTATGGGAACAGCCTTAAATTTAGCCATTTTTTAGATAATCCTCCTTGATTTTTTCAGATAACTCTCAACTAACGCCATTTGATCTGATTTTGTATATGAAATTCATGTGCATCCAAATAATTACAATGCCACTGACGGGAAAGAAACCCCTTCATATCCTTTTCAATAATTTAATGGTAATTTTCACAAAAACGAACCTTAAATTCGATGCCAATTTTTAGGATTTTGTTCTAGGTTTGTTTGAGAATGGGAAGAGAGGGGGTTGTTAGGATGTTGTTCAAGGTTTGTGGGGGCCAATCAAAATAAGTTTGGCATTTACTTGTAGATTCTTAAAAAAATAATGGTAAAACAACCTTTGGTTATACTAGTATAACGTACATGTTTTAAGTTTTGAATTTTATGCGTTAATAAATATAATATGATTGCTTAAAAAATGTATGAATTAATTATTATTGTGTAGTTATTGAAATTGAATGTTTTCCTCATAATAATCGCCATGTATTAACCTTTTTTTAAATAAGTCCCCAAATCTAAATAGTTATTAAATAAAACTGTCAATTCTATAAGTTCTTTTAAATATGACCCTCCAACTTGAAAGTTAACTTAACTCTAAATTAACTAAGCTGTATTAACATTGCTAGCTTTTTCCTGATATTCCCTAGATATATTCCCTAGATATATTCCCTAAATAGTTATACTTGATACCTGCAACATAGTGTAACATGCAACATAGTGTAACAGTTACTTCTTATTATAATTATTTAATAGGGTAAATTGCACTAAACCCTTGTGAACTTACAACCTATATAAACTTTCAAAATTACACTAAACCCCTAATAATTTTTCTGTTTCAAAGAAGACCCCAAACTAATTTTCTGAATTATGCAGATAACCCTAATAAATTAGAACCAAAAAATGACATAAAGACATTTTAATAGTTAATTTGGGGTTTGGTGTAATTTATCTAAAAGATATTTGAGCAGCGTTTTAAATATCGGCCGCCATGTCGGACATAGCGGCCGATATTGCGGATTCGGAACCTAGCCGCCACGAAATTGTTAAATTTAATGCGTATGGCGTTTTTGAGGTCATGTCGGGGACATGTCGGAAAATAGCGGATATATCGGACGATATTTCGGCCATCAAAAATCGGCCAAAATTCAGAAATATCAATTTCACATTGACATGTTGAAATCATATGATTTGCAATATCTTTGACATGTAGGTTTTAATTACTTGTTATTGCATGTGTTTTCTTTATAATGGAAGGCTATAAAAACACATGAATTTATTTGTATTAGTTGCACATATACTTCGGTTTTACTAGTTTCTTGTTTGGAGAAATGACAGATATATAATAAAAATCCTGCAATTGTTAGTCGATGCAGTTAAGTAGTTTAGAATAGCAATTACGAGTTTAATTTTCAATTTCAGTAGAATTTTCTTTTTGTTCCTACTAGTATAATGCACGCGCTTTGTATGTGAACATTTTTTTTTGTAATCTTTTTCTTTGAGTGTAAAATTATGAAGTGACTTTTATAATAACATAAATTCTTAAATTGAACAATTAATAAATCTTTACATTAATAAATAAAGTTGTGTATAAAGAATTGTATTAGTAATTTTTATATTCTGGATAATTATTATACTTTAATAATAATTTATTTAGACATTTATAATAAATTAAATAATTATTTAAAATTATAATAGATAATTATTATATTTTTAATTGTAATTTAGGATAGTCATAATAAATCATATGTTATTTATAACAATTTATAATATTTATCTATAGTATAATTATAATACTTTTATTCACTATAATGTATTAAATAATAGCATAATTCTTAGTTTAAGTTATAATATTAAAATGATTACATTAACATGTAGTAGAAGCCATTGATCTAGAGGGTTACAGTAACATGTAGTAGAATTTAGTAAAGTTTGCTTATTGGCATGGTAGTGAAGAAGCCTTTTACAAATAATGTTTTCTATGGAAAGGGGAATAAAACTGAATTGTGCAGCTGTTATAGTGTCTATTTGGTTTTCTATGCAAAAGCAAAAACTTGGTGGTTGCTTGTGAAAATGAAGACCCTTCTCATATGTACTTTTTTATATGTTTAGACAATATAATTATCAAGTATGTGAAGATTCCATTTATGATATTATATCAACCTACCCGATATGACAATCCGATATTTTTTTCATGTCCCCCGATATATCCCCGATTTCCGCTATCCGACATGAATTTTGACCGAGCGACATGAACCCGACATCCGATATTTAAAACCTTGTATTTGAGGCTTTCTACAAAAGTTATTAGGGGTTTAGTGTGATTTCAAAAGTTCATAGGGTCTATTTACTACAAAATGCTGAAAGTTCATAGGAGTTTACTATAATTTGCTTTATTTAATATTATAATTCTTAGTTCAAGTAATACTATTTAAATAATTATATTGTCTATATACTATAAAATATTTATCTAATTTGTTTTTTTAATTATGCTCTTAAATAATTTAGTACCATAAATATTTTATAAATTTTTATCATACTATCATCAATAATTAATAGTACTATTATTAATATTATAATTTTTTTAAAAGGGTTAGTTTTCAGTTGTTACCAAGTATAGATTATTCAGTATCATATAATAATCTTTGAGAAAATACTCTAAAAATAATATTAAATTATTTCTTTGATTTATTAAGTAATATAATACTAAATAAATACCGTAATTCATAATATATGTGATATTATTAAAATAGTTACACTACTTATGCGATTCAAAATTTATTCTATTTATTTTATTGCTCATTGAATTATAGTATAATTCTTAATAGTACTTTGTAATATATCATCCTATTTAATCTATTATCTTAATTATTTATTACAATTCATAAAACAATTATTATAATAATTTAATTGGTTACTACTAATAATTGTGTATACTTGTTTTATAAATTAGTTTAGTTTATTATTTTAAATAATTAATAGTTATAATATTATTGATAATTATAATTATTTAGGAAGGTGAGGAGGTGCATAATTAATAAGCGATTATATTTATTTAATGAAAGATTAATTAGAGATAATGACATAGTTATAAACTTATAATTTTATTAAAATTTGAGAGGGTAAAAAAGAAAATTAAAAGTTTTAACACATCAATCCTCTTTATATAGTAGTATAGATTAAACATTTCTAATCAATTTACAAAAATGTGTAAAAATGTGTAATTCATACGAAAACCTTTTGACAACTGTGCAACTTACATTCAATTACAAAATCTTTGGAAGTTAGGAGTTAGAAACCCTAAGAGTCTAATTTTAATGCCGTAAGTCAACCTACAGGGCGTTCCTGCTTCCTATGGACCATTGTCAAAAACTCTAAACAGAGCAAAGAGAGTGAGATTGAGTGAAAGAGTAGCAGAAGAGGGAAGGAGGCAACAATGATGTTTCTCAACAAGTATAAAGCAAAGAGGCAACTATATGAGACATACCAAACTTTTTCAAACTATGATAGTATCAAACTTATGAGTCGCACTTTGAAACTCTAGAAACTCTGGGAGAGAGTAATTGAGCCAAGACTAATAAATAAGGCAAGTATCTGAGAACCAATTTGATTTTATACCAAGAAGGTCAACTAAATGGTATCTATTTATATATATTACGCCAACTGATTAAGGTACATAGAGAGAAGATCAACAACGGAACCTATTTTTCTTTCGATGTCATTGTAATGGTTTATACGCACCTTGTCGGATGCCTGAAATCATTTATTGTGTTCTGAATGATGACATGTACTCGTAAAAGAAACAAACAAATAAATAAAACTATAGGTAATACGGAATGGTTTTTAACAGCTAACTCACAAGATACCCAAATTATATTCTCAGTTCCCCAGAGAGTCTAAGAGCTGGAAATTTCATTTAGTTATTCCACAATCAAAGGAGAGTGTCCGTTGTATTTATTTCCCCCTCCTAAAGTTCTTGACAGAAATCCATGACTTACCTCTTTTAATGCAAGAATTATTTCAGTAAGAAATGCAATGATGCTCTCCGTCTTCCTTTGCTCCGATGTGTCCTGTATGATGAACAGTAAATATTAAGCTCTAAATAAATATGTAATGAAACTGTCAGTGTTCCAAATTAAAGAGACCCGGAAATTCACACACCCGAATATATGTTAGTGCCCAAAAACATCATTACAGGCTGTACCAACCTTTGAAACATAGACAATCAAGTAATATAAACTGTCAAGTCTGTGGCGTTTGGCTGAGAAGTGACATGAATCGGTGGCTTCCAACAGCAAAGGAATTAGTTCATCCACTTTACTTGAAAGAAATTCATCAGATTCCTGACCATGTTCACATGAATACAACTTAAAATTAATGCTCCAGTACAGTGCAAAGAAACAAATAGGAGGCAATTTCTCAAGGTTCTATGGATTCATACTCAGAACAGAAACACAAAGTGGTACCTTGAGTATGGTCGCCAGTGTTTTGTATGCTTTTTTCTGCATTGAACCTTCTTTATCCTGCAAATAGATAGATATTGATAACGGTTACTATGCCAAGTTGTATCGCAGAAAAATAGAAGAATGGATAACAGAGATGAGCATCCATTAAGACATCAGACACCTGCAACGGAGATCTAATGGCAGTAAATAATAAGTCTATCTCTTCCTTATCTACACCAGGCAGGAGGCAAACTGCTAAATCCAATAGGAGGCCCCTGCAAATGCCAGACAACTTCAGATATTGCAGACACTAAATCTCAGTTCAAGGACATACTAAATAAAATCATGAGATATGAGTATTAATCTTTTTTAAAATAACAATAAATACAACATACCTTGCATGCAATAGAGATGCCGCATTTGATGATTCATCAATTTGCATGTCACTAGAACTTTCAAGCTGTTTTCCTTTGCTTGCTTTCTCAGTCGCACGCAGAAGTTTAATCATGACTTTCTTGAAGAAATTCTTCACTATATTTTTGTCTGATATTGAAGCGAACTCACGAATGGTGGACTGAAATCCATGATAAAAAGTGCTCACCATGTTGCCATAAGAAATTAGTTGAAGATATGTACAATGCTTAAAAAAAACCCTCTATACTTAAAGAATAGATAAGACCGAAATAACTGCATATAGGTATCATATGTCGTATGAGGTAATTTCCTCATATACAATGATATCGCCCAATGTCAACCAAGGGTAATTCCCTCTCCTCCTTTATTCACTTGATTGAGATTGAGCCACATCATTACCATATGACGAAATCCCTGATGTATGTGTGTGCGTCTACACACACACAAAATCAAATGAAACATGTGACGATTCTAGGATAGAAAATAGTTTTAGCTCCTAAGATTGACAGTTTCCTGAACAAAATGGATAGTTCAAATATGGACCAAAACCAATAAAACATAAAATGTTGGTATAACAGGCCACTAACGCTATTCCAGAAATCAGGAAATACAAACATAGAATACATGAGCATATTAACATATTAATATATACAAAGAATAAGCATAGGTTTAGATTCCCAACAATGTATCAAGAAAAGAAACTTAATTACCTGCAAACAACCACCATTGTCTTTTGAAGAGTTCAAGAAAGTATCAGATAGAACAGATAACATCTTGGACGATGATGAGCGTATAGCTTTCAGATTTTCTTCTGCAACTGCTTGCGTGTAATGTTCCTTTGCCTTCCTTTCTTGATCAGACAGCTTATCATCCAACGTGATAGAGCCTTCCTCGAGTACGCTCTTGTTCTGTCCAATCAGAATCTGGTTGCCAAGAGAACACAGAAATAAACAAAAACTGAATAAATCATAGATCAATATGTCAATCAGAATCTGGTTGCCAAGAGAACACAGAAATAAACAAAAACTGAATAAATCATAGATCAATATGTCATTCTACCAATAGCACCAGATATTAAACCATACCTGAAGGCTGGAACACATAATACCATGCAACTCAGACTCCCGAGGAAGTGTGAGGCATATAACTTTCTGAAGATCTTTGAAACTAGTGGAAGTATCAACAGGATAGTTACAAAAGGCTGGCAACAAAGACCACAATTGATAAACAAGGCCTTCTGCACTCTTAGCTGAAAATGTGCGGCCCTCTGCCTCAAGCTGCCATATAATGTTCATCAACTTCTATATAAGGTAAATTAGAGTTTACAGTAAATAACCAAACACAATTGAAACCATCAGTACCTTGTGCGATTTTTGCTGTAGGACTTTGATCATGTCCAAAATATTATGCGAAAAAAACTTTAGATGGGCACCAACAGTATATTGCTTCAAAATAGGAAGCAGCCAGACATTAGCATCAGAGATGTTTTCAGCATCCACATTAAGTGGTAGAATGCTTAGAAATATCTCAGGCCCCATTGCTCCAACAGCTGACCCAATACATTCATGAAGCTGCAGTTTTGATGAAGTACATAAGTAACTGAACATGAGTACATCAGGAATCTGTTTCTAACTTTTGACAACTGAACTATACAGTCAATGTCATACGAACACCATCTTAAGGTTCCAAAACTTTACTTCAGGGATAAAACTTTTAGATTTGCCCTTCCTTGTCACATATCTCACCTACTTAGAATTTCGCAAGATGTAAATATTATTTATTTCATTCATCAAGATTGACCCTGAAGTGTTGCATAAAGTAAATAATCATGCGATATTTGACCCACTGGAATATCCTCCAGAGCTGTCATACCAGTAGATGCAAAAGGGCGTGAACAGGTGCAACAATGTCAAACTGGTAAAATATACATTGAATTATTGATGGTTTTTAAGGCAGATTGACATCAAATTCACCAAATCTTGCAAGACGAATAAATCTGTCTCATAAAATAATTGTCTCAACAGTTCATGCCCTACAAAAGCTATGTCTTGCTTCAAACTACCACTATAGCATGCCAAGATCTAAATACTACAATGTTTATCTATAAATACAGTGCAATTTCATTTGTGGGTGTCTAGAGAGTAAAGTCCTCAAGTCTCAGAAAAAATTTGGTACTAAATCTTCCCATTAAGGTTCAGACTGCAAATCTTTTCTGCTCATCTTATCGACAAAATTTGAAGTTGCTCAGAAATGGAAACTTGAATGATGATGTGTTCTTGCTCTCTCGCCTAAGCATCATGTGTCAAGAACTTGATAGTGTAAAATAGAAAGCTCTAAGTATGGCAAAATTTGTAGAAGATTTCAAAGTGGTTAGATCTTGTACACTGCTTTTAAATTTGAACATTCTACATCATGGAAATGATTCAAATGAAGAAGTTGCTCCATTGGGCCATCCATTGTGTGATCACTTGATGAATATGAAAGAGTTCATTAACTTCCAAAAGTTGATAACTGGATCGCTTAATGTTGTAGAGCAAGAAAACTATGGTGGAGTAGCCAATCAATAAATTTGAGAGGTAAGGGCTAGCTATCAAGTTTGTCCATACAAATCAAAGTGAACATCATTTTGAATATACACATCTGAATAGTGTTTTACCCAGGGCAAAAAGAGCCTCAGAGAAATTAGCAGAAAGGCAATAACATTGTTGATATAAATAAACGGCATCACTGAATATAGTGGACATTTTCATAATTCTTTTTGAGGATGAAGCAAGAAGGTCCGGTTTGCATGTGAATACCTGTTTGACCCAGATAAAGATGTGTCATGGAGACATCAAAGTTTACTAGGTAGGAGTCCTACACATACTTCTATAATGGAGAATTATTCCAAGGGACTGGAACTCAATCCTGCATTTTGCAATCTTCCACAGTGAAAAAAGTTCCAGCAAAGAAACAGACGAGGAAAGCTAAGAAACATTGCAACTGGACTTGTAACTAAAAGATAGATCCGGAAGTCTGAAATTGGAAAGATAAAGAGGGAAAAAACATGACAGGGAAGGTGGATAAGCACCTCGAGCAGCAGAGTTCCTATTTGGTATTCAACAAAACTGTTCCATCTACCAACATTTCCGCCTAGAATAGGCTTCAAAAGGTAAGTTGATGCTCATTGAATAACCTCTAAAGCTAATACAGCGCAACAGGCTCATTTTGAAAACCAACTGGTGGAGGTTGTTTAGTCAGGAAGACAAGGAAAGCAAGACAACCATAGTATAACAAGTAAGTTTCTTCTAATATTTTCTTTTCAGTGGTCTGTGATCCGCACAGTCGAGAAACCTCCACCTCTAGCAGATCAGCGGCCCTCCTTCACGTCACTTACCTTATTTCAGCTAACGAAAGATCTAAGCATGTGAATCACCCTTGATATTTGATAATGTTCCAGCGTCCCATAAATCTTGAAAATTGACTTCGCATGATCAGCTTGTCCCAACTAAGTAGGCCCGAATTAGACTTGTAAAGTTCACTTCTTAGGGACATCAATTCATGAATTTAAATAAACCCCCAAACAGCCAAAAATTTTCAATAGGCCCTACAAAAAGTAAATATATATTGACCTTAAAATCCTTACATACATTTGTAATAAACCTAATACGGGTCATGCTACCCACATGAAAAACCAAACATATCAAGGATGAATTAGTATGATGAGCAAGCCAAAAACACCTTCATGACACATCTTTCAAAACTGTATCAAGGCGAGATGTATTTAAATTTTACATCAATGCAATTAACAAGAGAAAATTACTGCTAAGATGTCAAAGCACAGATATCACATCCAGAGAAAATAAATTCAGTGAAGTTTTCAACAGTTTCCTTATCAATATTTCAATGTGAAATTTGCATATGTTCACATCTGCAAGGAGTTTCAAGGGTTAAAGCAATGCTTTGTGTGAGTATAACCGTTTGGCACTGGTACTAACAGTGCATGAAAGGTGACAGGTGTAAGGTAAGAATGCCAAAACTACACAAGAAAGAAACTTTTAAGGCAATGAACAAAATGATTAACATAATGTATAAATACCCGCTTTCTGAATGGAAGGTCTTCATCTGGTAAACTCTCCAAATTTGCTAGGCTCCTAACTGTCCCAGCCATAAGACTTGATGAAAAATTCCCTACATACAGGTGGTATACAGCCAGTTATATACACACTCATACAAGAAAATAACTATTATAGTTATCCCTATCTGGTAGAAGGGCGTATTTAATAAATTTATATGTAGAATTAGACAGATTAACCAAATAACATCCTTAGCCATTTACAAAACCATGCCTTGAACAGAAACTGTGAAAAGAATAGAGAATAAGGCTGGAAACCAATTCTTACTTTCTTCTGCTCTCAAAAAACCAGCAGAACAATTTCAACTACCAAGTATATTTCAGACAATGATGTGTGGCATTTAAATGAAGGCTGAGCAAAAAATGTACCTAGTTGATAAAATGCTGCTGAAAGGACTTGAAATGACATATCCCAGACTGCATTATATTTATAACCAAGGAGGCCTTCCATAGTGGAGCATATTCTTTCAATAATTGTTGGACCGGACTTTCTTATTCCTCCTCCAGGGAGGCCTTCCATAGTGGAGCATATTCTTTCAATAATTGTTGGACCGGACTTTCTTATTCCTCCTCCAGTATTGACTGTGATTTGGTCGAACCCCTGCTTCACCAAGCCTTCATCCACACAAGAAGATATCAAACCTTTAAATGCCTCGGCAGCAGCAAATATAGCTTCCTCATGCTCGCTGGTTAAGACATCTGTTGAGGATTAAAGAACAATATGAAAATTTACATCATCAATACATGACATCAGGAGACTAATCAATACAGTAAAACAGGATCAAAGCAGACCTCCAAGAGTATTAAATATGAGAGGGAGCTTCACAATGCATATTTCCCTGTTTAGACTGTGCACTTTTTTCATGCCGATATGCAACAACCGTGCAGTAGATGCCATCTCATCTGCTATTAAGCTCTTTTCAGCAACATATATTGCTAGTGTGCATAAAAGATCTAATAACACCTCTGCTGCAACTTCTGCAGTTGGACTGGAGCAAAAGGACTGCAAAATCTCCATTACGGTCTTTGTGAGGATTGGTTGACGTAGATTTACTAGTGACTTGCAGTATTTCATGATATTTGTTGCATATTTCAGTGACATAAGAGGAAGACAATTCTTTATTGCATTTAGAATATACAGGACCTCCATAGCTCCTCTTGGTCCTCCAGCTGCATCCAAAGCACTAGAGTCCGATCCACCAGCAAGCAAAAGGAATCTCTCAAAAAGGTTCGTAACCCCTTCACTCGCCAACACTATAGCTGAAGATCCTCGAATGCTTTGTAGGATATCATACAGACATGCATGAGATTGTTTCCTCACCTGTTGTCAACGCGTTTAACAGTTATCAGCATATCATGGATAACAAGAACATTTCTTACTTATTAAAAAAACTACAGTAGCGGTACCAATATATCAATTTGCAACTTTAATGATAACTACAATGGAAGATTACAAGGGCCTAACTGGTTCACTTCGGCAAAAGAAATTTTTCTGAAATGTGTCATCAACAAGAGAAGGAAGAAAGTAAATGAAGGTAACACCGTCCTTCTGTGAACAATATGGGAGGAAGAACAACGATGACAAAGAACAGCAAGAAACGGTAATCAGTTGGGATGATAAGAGAAAATCACTTGAATTTTTGTTTCAAGATTGTCCATGTTCATTACATCACACCATGTTCATTACATCACATTCAATTGTATGGAGTCCAATTTGAAAAATCTAAAATTTGAATTGATAAAATGACCTTTTTTTTAAATAATATTAAAAGTACCCTAGTTCAAATCCACCTCCAACCACAATGTGCAAAGAGAACAACAATCACCAAACAAAAAGACTCTTAAAGATTCAAACTTCACGCATTACCTTAGGCCTCGGATCTGTAACAAACCCAAGAACAACCCCGTAAACCGCTGAAACCTGAGCCCAATTCCCCTTCTCACCAACCTTCACCAAGCTCCCCACGCACTTCAACCCCGCCTTCACTCCGCTCACCGGCAAAGCGACAAGCCCCAAAACCCTAACCAACATCTCCGCCACCGAATCCCACTTACTCCTCACAACCGCCGGAGGAACCCTAGGAACAGTCATCGCCAGAAACCCTAGAAGGGCGGACGTTACCGGATCGGTACCCGAATTGGGGTCCCGCGAGAGGCGATCGAGGGAGGAGACGGTGGCAGCGAAGAAGGCGACGGGGGATTGGGGGATGGACTGGTCTTTGAGGGCCTGGGCCATGGCGCCGACGGCGGCGCTGGCGGTGGTGGTCGTCAGGCAGAGAGGGGGACTGTGTGCGGGGAGATCTGAGGGAGGTGGATGGAGGGGAGAGGTGGGATGTCGGGTGCTCGCTGGAGGAAGTATTAGGCGAGCAGGGGGGGTAGAGAGGGGAGAGGAGCAAAGCCCTAAGAGCGATGACGGGTGCGCTGCTAGCGGAGAGGGAAGATTAGGGGTTATGGATTTCGATTAATTACTGAAAATGTTGTCTGAATTATTGGGCCTCAGGCCCACGGCGACGATGCAAAGCGCCGAAGGAATGTTTTGTGGGGGATGGAGGTGATCAGATAAGTGGAGGTTGGGGCAGGCTTTTAGTTTGATAGAAAGAGTCCAGCAAAAGCCCGCAAAGGAAAAGGCTAGTGGGCCATATTTCGTTCTTCTCGGCCTTGTCAAATACTAACAAGGCCTTAACTGTGATATATCTGTGTCCCAGATATCTTGCTTTGACGAGAACAGTTGAATCCTCTCGAAATAAATCAAAATCTCAATCATTGATTATCTAGTAGATAATTGTGATATACTTTAAATCTAACATAAGCTATATCTACGTGTATAGCACTCATTCTTCGTTTGTACTTAAAAGAAAAAATTCATGATCACCTAGTAGATAATTAATAGTTGTGACTTAGTAGTGTTCTCTTCACAGCTTTTTCTTTGTATTATCGAAGGGGAGGATGATGAGGAGGAGGAGGAAGAAGAAGAGGACAAGAATCCATTTTTCACCTATCTTGTATTGTCGAGGGGGAGGAGGGGGAAGAAGAAGGAGAATAATAATAATAATAATAATTTGGATCATTCTAAATAGTGAGAGCTCACTTCTTAATTAAGAGGTGCTTATTTGACTAATGTATAATTGTGATGCTTCTTAAGTGTAAAATTGGAATGAGTACAATAAACAGAGCTAAAGTAACATGAAATTTGGAATGAAACATACAGGGTGGATATTAAATAGTAAAATGTTATGAATAAAAGTAACCGATCGGCCACTAATTTATCTAAATAAAAAAAAATGGATCAACTTTCATATCAAAATCGCCACCACCGTGGAGTCGTGGGCTAGAGAAAATGGCAAAACCAAAAAAAAGGAAAGGATTCGATGAGAAGCCAAAGTCAAAGAAAGGACCCGGAGTAAATATTTTAAAAAAACACTGCTTAAAGCGTGCATAGCCAAAGCATTCGGCAATGCAGTCCCCCTTTTGTTCCGTGCGTCGAACTGACTCGAACAAATTCCATCGACGGCCCTGCATTTGTTGCAAATTTCTGCAGAGAACATTCAAAGAAGGATCTAAGCCGACAAATTCTCATCTCATTGAAATCTAGATTTTTCCGGTACTTGCAATGCGTATGCGTACGTGAAGCGACACGTACACATGCAGATTGGAGCCCAGTGCCTGCAACAATTAAGGAAGATGTTTCCTGTAGGCTCCTTTGCTTAGAGTTATTTGGTCTCACTCTCGTTATCAATGGGATCAGGATGTACGTTGTATATCTACAGAAAATACAAAAACTTCATGTATAATTTGTTACATTGGAACAATTAAACATACACGAGTCAATACACTAATGAGCAGCGACTAAGGACGGTGACAACGCGTTAGGTAAAGTTGCAATATGATCTGTATGGAGTTTGGATGCTATTTATGTGCATGACAAAAGTTTTTTCGTGAATGCAAGGAGAAGTCATTTTGGCTCTTGAGCGTGGAAAACAGGCCGGCCGCCCACATTCTATAGCTTAATTTGCATCAACTTTGAAAAAATTAGGCACAAGCATCGGAGACCAGTTGTCCCCCTAGTATAATTATTCTATTTAAGGGCAGGTGTTGAAATTAGTAAAGATTCTTGTTGAAACTCGCAACGTAATTGAAATTATCAAACCAGAGCAAACAAAAAAAAAAAATGCATCTCATGATTCTCATCTCTCACCTCAAAAACTCACTTTTCAAAGTCTCACATCCCAGGTGTTCAAACATTAAGGGGCTGTTTGGTAGGGACGTTTTGAATAGAAAGCCTGTCAAAAGTGTTCTTTTGGCAGGCTTTCTGCCTAACCCCCAATACCAAATACATCAACCAAACAGCTCCTAAACACGAGTTAGCCAAATCTTGGCCACTTCTTATCATCACATTCATAGTTTCTCCCCCTCTTTCTTAGAAAAAGAAACTTGGTTTAATTCCTCTATAAAAAAAACTCCGATTTCAAGAGAAACCTAATATTAACAAAATAGAAAAAGAATCAACCCGGGGGCTTTCGGGTTTCTCGCTCCTTTTTTTTCGTAGTAGTCCCCCAACATGTCATATATCGATATTTGTCCCCCAGTTTTTAAAAAAATTAAAATTGGTCCCTCAAATCTTTAAACATTTTGCAAATTCTACCACAAATTTAAATTAGTCCCTCAAATCACATTTTTTAAATTACTCCCTCATGTGTTCATAATTTGAAATTAGCCCCTCGAACCTTTAGGCATTTTTGCAAATTACTACCTCAAATTTAAAATTAGTCCCTCAAGTCTTTAAACATTTTGAAATAATACCCTCAAATGTTCAAATTTAAAATTACTTGCACCCCATTTTTTAATGAAACAAACACATAAAATACTTTCCTATAAAGCGAAGGAAACACTAAAGAGCGAAATCGACCAAACAGGCCCAAACAGGAAAGAGGGAAATTTTGAGAATGAACCTTATACAAATATTTTCAAGAAATTTTCGGAACTTTCAACTAGATTGAATCTCTCTAAACTATTGGAAAATCTCGTAAACAAAACTACCAATCAAAGTAATAAATTTGAATCATGTTAAATCGAACTTTGTGATGAAATTTTCCAAGGAAAACGCTCATGTGGAAGAACAATCATTTCACATTTTTAGGCATATAATTTTTACTCTGCTCGTGAACGCGTCAACTTTCACTTCATCTCATACACATAGAAACGTTCACACACAAATCAAAATACGTACATAACATCTCCTCAAGGAAAACATAATACGCTACACACACATAAGTACATAGTTTTTTTAATTACATCTTGCGTAGACAAAACGAAAACCAAACAAAAATGAGTAAACACGAACCGAACTTGACTCTCCGCATCTTTGGCTAGTTGTCACACCAACAACACACCAGCATAAACCGCAGGGCGACAGACCTGTCCAAATTACACATGACTAGTTCTTGCCAGGAGGAGGAGGAGGAGGAGGAGCAAGCTTAGCGATAAAATACAAAGCATTGCTCGTCAACCTCTCAACCTCCCTCACCTTCCTCCTAACCTCCTCCACCTCCTCGCCCCCCTCCACCTTCCTCATCCCCTCCAAACAAGTGTCCTCATTCGTCAGCGCCGCGCTCACCCAAGTGCAAACATCGTCAATCTCCATCCTAACATCATCATCTTTTTCTTTAATCCCGTTGAGTTCGTCCTTGGATTTTGACAACTGGTCGGCGGAGTCAGAGAGCTGCTGGAGACAGTCGCGGAGAGGGGAGCGGGAGGGAGGGGAGGGGAGGCGGTGGAGGGTGGAGAGGGCGGAGTGGGTGCGGGAGAGGGAGGCAGAGAGGGAGGAGATGGCGAGGGTGGCGGGGGTGCTTTTTGGCAGAGCGGGCGGACAGGGGCGGATGCAGAGGGCGGGTAAGGCCGGGCGCCGGCACAGAGGGAGGCGGGGTGGTCTCACGCGGGGGAGGGGCGGGGCGCGGGCGGCGGCGGTGGAGAGGAGGAGGAGGAGGAGTAAGAGTGGAATCGGCATTTTTTTTGTGTGTTTTTTTTTTCGGAGTCGGTGAGCGCAGGGAGCGCAAATTGTAGGGTGGGGGAGTTTGAGGAGAGGGAGCCGGGTTTATATTCAGATGGAGAGGGAATATTGAGGCTTGCTTTTTGATGTGTTTATGATAATCTCTCTATTACTCTTTTAGGCTCTTCATCACTAGGGTGCATGCGGGTTGGGGTATGGGAAAATAATCTAGAGGGCCTCCATAAAACACAGGCTAAATGCCACTTAAATACCCTAATCTTCCTTCAGGTTTGCATTAAAATATCCCAAGTTGTAAAAAGCTATACATAGATACCCTAGTAGGCCATCATAAAACACCATTAAAAGAACCGTTATGACAAAAATAACACTCGATAAAAAAATTAATAAAAAGATGGAGGGTAGGTATAGCGGTAAATATGGTCATAAATGGGGCCAATACAACTATAAAAAATGTCACGTGAGGATCACATGGGAATATTCCTAGGAATATTCTCACATGCAACTAACAGAAAGTACCGGTTTTTTGCAACTTAAATATTAAAATGCTACTTTTTACGACTCAATGTACGTACTAAAGTGCTACTGTTTGTAACTTAGGATATTAATTTGAGTTCAAATGTAATGAAACAACAGAGCATTTAGTTGCCATTTAGCCTGAAAACAAAATATCAAGTTTAGTTTTATTTTCTATTTAAGTTGGTCCAAGCAGTATATAACAGTTGGTACAATTATAAAGATTAATGTCCAATCAAGGCAAGGCAGCAACTGCTTTTGATGTTAGAGATTGTGTGGGAAATCTAGCATCAGGATTGTAACTGGGCATCGCCAAAATCACCATTGCTGAACTGAAAAGACGTTGAAGTAGCCTTGGTGATTTCTGTTCTGTACTGTACAAATACTCTCAAACTTGTCTTTTGCTTATAATCGAAAAATAATAATACTAAGATTTCCTATTAAGGCTCCAGCTCTATAGTTTTTAAGGATGTCTGTTGAAATTAATGCACTGCTCAAAAGGTACTCCCCTTCTGATAGCTAGCTATCTCCATCACTCGCCTCTGCGCTCAAGCCAAACTTACTTGAGAGTATTCCACACACAACTAAAACCAAAGAACCTAGCTCATGGATTCTTTTGAAAAGGACATGATCACGAATATATCCAGCTTACAGCACTACAACTCTCCTTATACTGTTCTCCTCGCCCCTAAGGAACAAATAATCAGTGTGAATCCTCGCTTTAATGTGAGATGAAATAAAGTCCCCCCCCCTCAAAAGGATAGCTCGTCAAACGCTCACATGCAAAGGTTAGGCAATCATAAAATGAAAAAAAAGGCCCACCATGTGCTTTCCTCTGGCCTCTTTTCAAACTGATCAAGAAAACTGATGGAGAAATGACAGTAAAGTTGGGGCACGTAGAGGACTCAAATAATTGGAGGAGTAATTAATGTGAGCTTGTTATATCTAGTTGCTAGTTTATTGTCTCAGCTGTACTCGGTGAAGGCATGGCTCTGGTTGGCTGAAGATGGACTGTTTGTGTTTCTGTTCATATATGTTTGCTATTGGTATGAATGATATTAATGAAGTAGTCCCTCACATGTTTAGCTATGGTAAACTGCAGCCGGTGCTCAAAAAGAGCTAGAAATTTTGATGCAGGAATGTAATTAGTGTAATATGAAATTTGCACAGTCATGAGTCATCCATACTTAAATGTGTTAACAGTAGTCAAGATATTTTGCACATACGTGATGTGTTACATGTTTAAATGTTGTTACAAAAACAAGCTTACTCCATCTTCTCGAACTTAATACTGTAAGATCAATATATGATAAGCTTGGGATTCCTACTTCAACCACGAGTCCAAACTATGGGGAATAGGCTGCCACAGAGTAGACCACAATGTTTTAGAATTTTAGAATTTCATGACTAGTTAATTAGTTATACCCCCACATTGATGCTGAAGTTCTCTACATGATGTTGTGTTTGGATAATCATATCAATGCCTAGGATGGACAAAGTTATTAGTCTAATGAACTTAATTAGTTCTTTCCTTTTCAAACACGGTGAACCGTGGTACAGTAAAGCACGTAGCGATAGAAGTCTTAGGAATTAAGTAAATTTTTGCTGAGTGGTATCAAACAAGAATTGAAAATAGTTAAGCTAAAGTCAGAGCTTAATTATGATGTTCCTCAAATGAATAAAACAATTTTCATTGTTTATTTCTAGTTCATGTTGAAGGGACACGTTTAGTTCCTAATTTCCTATATCATTCTCTTATCTCAAATAGGCTAGGCTAAGTCACCCGTGATTAATGTTGCAATTAATTTGCTCTTGCTAATGTGGTTGCTACATTGACCTACATCACACCTACTTGCTAATCACATACTAACTTGTCCTCATTTTGGTGACTAACACAAAATATATGTGCATAGAAATGAGGGGATGGATACGTATGGACATTGTCGCGTGCCAAGTAGCAAGCCAACTATTATAGTTCACACTTCAACAAATGGGACATAAATGAATCCACATTGATTGTTATTATAAACTAGTAGGCAAAGATTGGAGTATGTAAGCAAACGTAGGCTTCCTTTGGTGGTGATGGGGAGTAAAAGTTATAGAACATGATGTTCATACTTCATACTCGATAGTGCTTTAACTTACCAAAGCTGATTAAGAGACCAAACTCTTGATGTCTTCTCTTGTCAAAAGACATCTAAGACCTACCCTCATCAACAAATTTATATGAAATTTGTTGAGCTTCATTTTCTACAATCTAGACCATTGCCAACTAGTAATTTCCCCAGTTGTGTCTTGATCTTTTTTTTAGCAAAGCAACAATTTTATCATACCTGAGAAAACACATGCAACCGAATACGCAGTCTGCAGTTGCTCTCTGTGAAGTTAACACAAGTTCATCGATCGGTGCCTAACCTTATTAGCAGCAAGTTCTGAGTCAATGAGCCAAACATGTTTTAGAAGCAATCCACATAAGCAGCTTTCAATAATAGACGTTTAAAGAACTGTCTTTGTTCTGATAGTAAAGAATCAAAAGTTATAGGGGTTAATATTGAAAGTTTTGTAAACCTTGAGTCCTTTCATTAAATCAAGTTACAATATATAATACATTGTCAGACAATATTCCTAAGATCGTGGCCAGAATAATGTTAAGGCTAAGCTAATTATGTTAACATTCCTATAATACAAAGATGCTGATTGATCTAAATAAGGCTACCGAATAATGCTAATTATGTTAACATTCCTATAATACAAAGATGCTGATTTGTCAGAATAATCTAAATAAGGCTACCGAATAATCCCTTGAATGTGGGATGTATTCTAATACGCCCCCGCAGTCGAAACGGGAGGTTGTTGAACGCTGAGACTGGATCTAAACTCATCAAATAATGAACGTGGAAGCCCTTTAGTGAAGATGTCAGCGTATTGATATCGTGATGGAACATGACGGACGTGAATGTGACCCTTTGCAACGCGTTCTCGTACAAAGTGGATGTCCATCTCAATGTGCTTTGTGCGTTGATGATTGACGGGGTTGCCTGCAAGGTATATGGCGGAAACATTGTCACAGTAGACGACGGTAGCTTTGTTAAGTGGCTGATGTAATTCTAGGAGGAGGTTACGAATCCAACATGATTCGGCCACTGCGTTGGCGACGCCCCTATATTCAGCTTCGGCACTGGAACGGGATAGAGTAGGCTGTCGTTTGGATGACCAGGATATGAGATTATCTCCGAGGAAAACACAATAACCTGATGTGGATCGGCGGGTGTCGGGACAGCCAGCCCAGTCGGCGTCTGTGTAGGCGAGGAGGTGTTGGCTACCAGATTTGTAGAGATGCAGCCCGAGGTCAGTGGTACCCTTCACGTATCGAATGATACGTTTCAAGGCGCTGAAATGTTCTTCACGGGGGTCATGCATGTATAAGCAAACTTGCTGCACAGCGTAAGATATGTCTGGTCTGGTGAACGTGAGATATTGCAATGCTCCGGCGAGACTCCGATATAATGTCGGATCAGCCATTTTAGGGCCAGCTTGTGCACTTAGTTTACATTTAGTATCGACAGGAGTGGATGCCGGCTTACATGAAGTCAGATTTGCGCGTTGTATAATCTCCTGTGCATATTTCTTTTGAGACAGGAATAATCCCTTGGAGTGGCGGTGAACAGCAAGGCCGAGAAAGAAATTTAGAGGGCCAAGGTCCGTCATGGCAAACTCATCGCGGAGTTGGGAGATAATGGTGTTGCGGACTTTTTCAGTAGAGGTGGCCAAGATAATATCATCGACGTATAAGAGTAAGTAGGCCATGTCACTACCGTTCTTGTAAATGAATAACGAGGCATCACATAAGCTGTTGGAGAAACCGATGGTTGTGACGAATGTGGCAAAGCGTTGATACCACGCCCTGGGAGCTTGCTTAAGTCCATATAAAGATTTTTTTAGGAGGCACACATGGTCAGGACGGGTCTTGTCACGAAAACCTGGAGGTTGATGCATGTAGACGGTTTCATTTAGGGTCCCATGGAGGAAGGCGTTCTTGACGTCGAGTTGATGTATGGACCAGTCATTATTAAGAGCAAGGCTGAGTACGGTCCGAATTGTAGCCGGCTTGACAACAGGGCTGAACGTGTCATTGCAATCAATTCCAACTTGTTGAGATTTGCCATTAACAACGAGTCGGGCTTTATAGCGCTCCAAATCACCATTGGACCTGTATTTATGTTTAAACAACCAAAGACAACGAGTAATATTGACCCCCGTAGGACGAGGAACCAAGTCCCAGGTCTCATTCGTCATTAGAGCCGAATATTCGTCTTTCATAGCCTGATTCCAATTAGGGTCATGGAGGGCGGAGATGGGGTCTTTAGGTATGGGAGAGATAGTGGTTTCGGTGTTAAGGTCAAGGATGACTTTGGGTTTAAAAATGTCGTGTTGGGCACGGGTGCGGAGGTTCGATGGTGGGATGGTGATGGGGACAGGAGGGGGGTTGGGTATCGGGGTGAGAGGGGGTATAGTGGCAGCTTGGGCGGGAGAGGGAGGAGGCGAGGGTGTAGGCGTGGTGATGGGTGTCTGAGGGTCAGTGGGAGGTGAAGTGTGTGTAAGGTGATGTTGAAGGTAGGGTGAAAGCGGGGAATCCAGGAACCTATAATGGTGTGGGTCGGGGTGAAGGAGGGATTTGAATGGGTATATGCTTTCGTCGAAGGTGACATGACGGTTGATGAGGAATTTGCGGGTGGTGAGGTCAAAACATTTGTAGCCCCGATGATGGTTAGGGTATCCAAGGAAGACGCAAGGGGTGGAGCGGGGTTGAAGTTTATGAATGTTAGACGGGGGGAGTGGGGGTAGCAAAGGCAACCGAAAGTACGTAATTTATCGTAAGAGGGATGTCGGTAGTATAGGCTGAGGGTGGGGGTGTTATTTTTATTGGCTTTGCTTGGGAGTATATTATGAAGGTAAGTGGCCATAGATAGGGCATGATGCCAAAATGATGGAGGAAGGTGGGCATGAATGAGAAGTGTGCGGACAAGGTTGTTGATAGTACGTATTTTTCGTTCCGCTTTGCCGTTTTGAGGAGAAGTGTATGGGCAGGAGAAACGGAAATGAATGCCGTGTTCACGGAAGTGTTTGGTGAAAGCGTTATTGTCAAATTCACGACCATTATCGCATTGAAAAGCTTTTATTTTCTTTTCAAATTGAGTGGTTATATACGTGTGGAATGTGGCGAAAGTACTGTAAGTTTGTGATTTATTAACAAGCGGGTATGTCCAAAGAAAGTTGGTGAAGTCATCTAAGAAAAGAACGTAATAACCGTGACCCATTGTGCTTTTAACCGGTGAAGTCCATAAATCACTATGAATCAAATCAAAATGAGAGAAAGTTTGAGATGTAGAAGGGGAAAAAGGAAGCTTAATATGTTTACCAAGTTCACATGAATTACATAAACGACTTGGACTATTATTATTGCATAAAAGAAAACCGGTGCGGCGAAGCGTGTCGAAGGTGGAATGGCCTGGATGGCCAAGACGGTTGTGCCAGGTGGAAGAGGATATGGCGGCAAGAGCTTGAGGCGTGGAAGGAGGGCGGTTGTTGTTGGTCAGAGGGTACAACTCGCCTGTGCTATTGCATCTCATAAGGTGTCTTCCCGTCCGATAATCCTTAATAGAAAAACCAACAGGGTCAAATTCAACGGAAACTGAATTATCATTTGTGAACTTGCGAACGGAGATGAGATTTTTAATTAGGTGGGGAGCATGAAGGACGTTTTGAAGGGCGAGGGGTGGGTTGGGGGGTTTGAAGGTGGTATGTCCATAACCCTTAATAGGAATCATGTGGCCATTACCGACAATAATATTAGTATTCAAACTCGAATGGGAATAAGACAAGAGATTACCTGGGTCCGAGGTCATATGGGAAGTCGCTCCGGTATCCATATACCAGTTGTCGTCTGGGGGTTGGAGAGAAAGTGTCTGCATAGCAAGGGCAATATCAGTGGGAACAAGTAGCCCGTTAGGCGCTTCGGCAGGAGTAGATTGAGCAGCGAATGCTTGTTGGGGTCTTGGTCCGAGAACACCTGCACCTGGAGTGCTGTTGTTGGGTGGTGTCCATGGAGTGGTGGGGTATGGGCATGGGGGTGGAGTCCATGTGGGTGGCTGTCCCCACGGTTGAAAGGGCATCCATGTCCAACCCGAAGGACTGTTTTGAGAGGGATTTCCAGAAGTGTAACCGCGTCCTTTTCCTCCTGGAAAACGTCCCCCACGACCACCCTTGCCACGATTATTGAAAGGACGAGAAGGGGTTTGTGGCGGCAGTGAAGGAGTTTTGTCGGGGAGATGGTTCTTGTCATGCCGTGTAGAGGAGACGAAGGCAGACCCTGTGGTGGAGCGTCGTTGGCGACGCGTTTCTTCAAGAGATTTTTGTGTCGTCATGGGGAGAGGCGGAATGTGGTGGGGGAAGAAGATGGATCGTTGGCTCTGATACCATGAAAGTTTTGTAAACCTTGAGTCCTTTCATTAAATCAAGTTACAATATATAATACATTGTCAGACAATATTCCTAAGATCGTGGCCAGAATAATGTTAAGGCTAAGCTAATTATGTTAACATTCCTATAATACAAAGATGCTGATTGATCTAAATAAGGCTACCGAATAATGCTAATTATGTTAACATTCCTATAATACAAAGATGCTGATTTGTCAGAATAATCTAAATAAGGCTACCGAATAATCCCTTGAATGTGGGATGTATTCTAATAAATATATTGTACACACCGGAGTTTTTTTTTTCCGTTCGTTTATCAACTATTCAATGGCTAAAGCCTGTTGCACTACTTCAGACGTCGAAATCCGAAACTGTGACAACTTAGTGCTATAAACTTTAATACTCTTAACAGATATCTAAAGATTGTCATCCTTATTGTGGATTGAAACCTGAGCTCATTCTGTCATACCTTTTCTATGGGCCTATTTTTAATATATCATCAGCAAGACTTCAACCTACATTACTCTGATATCATTTACGTCCCATACGCTATATCAAAACTCCAAATTTATGATAATGATTGAGGGTTAGGGTGAGATTGGATACTTTCTTAACCAGTTGCATGGGTATCCAGCCATTGGCATTTCTGGTTGCTTATTAGTGAAGATTGAAGAGACACATGCACACATGTTGTACCTTAAGCCAGAGGGCCTACCCCTGCCTCCTACTGACTTAACTCTTGGAATCCAATGGGGGCGCAGCATCCCCATTATCAGTACCAGCAGCCTTTGTGGCTTGTCGAAGGTTAACAGTAATTGATGTATCCTTGTTCACATTCTCGCAACATATTCAACATTGGAAGAAAGAAAGAAAAAAAAATCCCACAGCTTATCCTCAATAAGAAAACACAGCGCGGAAAAAAGAGAACACTATTCATGATCATTATCAATTAATCAGTAAAATCAGCATGTTATTTTTATTTATTTTTTTTTTATTATTATTTATTTAAATTTTTTTTTTTGGAGGG